CCCCTTGTCCCAACGTACCCCACCTTCCCCTATTACATCGCATTTCACCAAGCCTGGAAGGAACGCATTTTTTGCTAGATTAGTCATATAATACCTAAGACACTCACCCTTGAGTGGTACATACCATATATGCACATACTCTTATAAACTTGAATGTTTCTTCCATTTATAGTATGTGGTATCATCACTCAAGGGTGCCATATTTAGTCCAAATTTTATTATTATGTTTACATGCAGTATATTTCATGCTGTATTGTCTCTATTTTTTGATGTTGATTCGTCTTACAAACTCCTTTGTACAAACAGTTTTGCATACTCCACCCTTGCCCTTGTTGCCAAACTCATCCATCCTCCTTGCACAACTGTCTATATGAAGGACCATATTATAGGCCAGGGATGGCGAACCTTTTCCAGAGAATGGGTCAAAAAATTATATTTTCATCGCGGAACAGAAGATAGTGGGTCACAGATATTTGAACAATGTTTGTATCAATAAGAAACTTCTGAAACATATCTTATTAGCATGTCTTCTATCAGGGACTCTTATGGCACTCGATTTTAGGAAATTAGAGTACGAAAACACGCATACGAATTACCAAATACGTTTAGGATGATGCGCAAATTATTTACGGTGAATTCCTTCCAAAGAGTTTGGAGGTAATACCACTCTGATAGTGTTATACTTTTTGATCAGCTTTATACCACATTAAGGCACTTTTACACTGTCCCATTGTTATTTCTAGGTTTTTATTTCAAGTCTGAAAAATTTTGTTTTCTGAACGGCATTGTAGGCGAGAAACTAATAAAATGCAAAGTAGCTTCTAGTTCTCGCAAATGACATTGTTCTCGCATAACCCGTAAAACAGTCTGCAAATGCACTTCCTGAAGAGACAAGACATTGCGAGATTTCAATATCAATTGCATTGTTATGTCATAAACGATGTCTGAGCCAATAGCTGAATAAAAGATGCTCCCAAAGTATGTGTACCAAGATGACGCACAACCTGAACATGGTATGTGTACCAGGTAAGGTTTCAGGTTATGTGTCATCTTGGTACACATCCTCCCGGAGCAAGATTAGGGGTTTTGAAAATTACCATACCGGCCAGGAATTAACAATTTAAATATGAGCAATCGCAGCCCTGACTGCCCAAACGACGGTACATTATAATAGTTTACTTATTGTTAGACTAATTTAAGGCCGGTTTTATCAATTATAATCGCAGATATGTTGGTATTTTATTTCTACTTTATTCGTGCCTTGGTGGGTCACGAATAAAACGCGGTGGGTCACTTTGTGACCCGCGGGTCAGTGGTTCGCCATCCCTGTATATAGGCCTACTTATTTGATTTATTGCATTTTATGCTTATCATAAGGGGTGTATGCCGCACGCAAGAAATCGCTGAGATCGATCAGCGTAACCCATACAATTGTAGATATAAGTAAGTATATTTGGTAATATCTTGATTTTAAAAACAGAAGTTCAAAATCGTAATACAACGTCGTGGTTAGGGCTGGGCATTTCGAATCGAATAGTAAATTATTCGAATCGGTTTAGAGCAAATTTTCGAATCGCCGCCATCTTGTTTTACTCTTTCCGCCAATGGTCGAGGTAAATTTCGCAATTTTATTTTCATTGAAGCCATATTTTTTCAACACAATTCTGACTTATAACTCTTTTCTGTATTGAGGTATTGATGAAAACGTGTTTTTTTATTGTCAGTGATGTATTCTATGTTTTCAGTAATTTATGTGTCTGGAGGACCTAAAATACTAAGAAATTTACATACAATTTTATACCTTCCAAGTATTCGAGATTCGATTCGAAAAAATTATTCGATTCGATTCTGAAATCATCAGCCCTAGTCGTGGTACCAAAAAACGTGACGTCATAAAACCCCTCGTAAAGGTGGGAAGCGGGCGTTGCTGATTGGTCAGACCGCCCGGTAGGCCACGCCTACGCAATCATTCACGATAGTGACTACACCAGTGGTTTTCAACCGGTGTTCCGCGTCAATGTGTTATTTCACTTTTTTGTGGTTGACATATCATAATATATGATATAAAATTTTACAAACTAAGAATGAAAAATAACGTATTTGGTTTCAAGATGAATCCGTTGCGTGATAAGGATGATTACCTGGACGAATTCTGGGGCCCCATTCACAAAGCTTCGTTACCGGTTAACGTGTTAGTTAAGCACCGACTTTCTCGTGAAAAGCAAAAATGGTATTCACAGAGCTTCGTAAATATTCGAGAGAATTTTTTTGGCGCCAAATGATACGTCTCGTAAAGTGCCTTCTTCTCACATTTTACCGAGAATCGGTATTCACGAAAAGTCTTTAACGCGCTGAAGAGCTCGCTAGCTAACGAGGACAGTCTTCGCCTCGTTAACAGTTCGGATTGCTCTCAGCAGTGTTTCAAATTGAAATAGGCTCGTTGAGACGTTAGCATACTTTGTAAAAATTGGAATAGTATCAAAAGGCCTTACTCGGGTAAGCGTGTATGTAGTCTAGTGCCATTAACTTAGCTGTGGGATATCTGCCGCATTTACAGATTAAACTAGGGTTGAGATTCAGAGATTGTTCAGTTGTTGAAGTCATTGCTTTTTGTTTATTCTAGCATTGGCCTACAGTATTATAAACACAGATTCGCAAATGGCTACCTATATTGAAGCTTGCAGAAGAAAAGCTTAACAATTTTTTCATGTCGTATCCGAAAGAAAAAAATCCGCTAGATGCAAGTGAAAGGACCTTAATAGAGGACTATAGACTCAATGAAAAATTAAAAATATGGAATCTTAACAAGCTTTGGCACCTCACTGATTTTATTGTCTGTTACACAAATAGTTCACAATATGTAATTTGTTTTGTGGCAATAAATCTCTCTCTCTCTGTAACTTCAGCATTTATTCCATGTAGCCTATCCGTCAGCCTATAGATGACGCCACCGCAATATGAACAAAATTTCAAAACGCAGGCTGCAAAGGTGAAGCATAGAAAGCCGATAAGTTACCGCGAAGGCGAAACACGGCTCGACCGTAAGCGGCGACAACTGATACGACTGAGTGATCAGTCAGTGCAATTTGTTCAAATGCGACTGTACGTAAGATTTCGAGAGAATGCTAGTGACCGTGCGTCAAGTGCTTACGAGGTCTTTGGTGAATCGCATTTAACGAGATTTCGCTATCACGATTCTGAGAGACACAGTTACGAGATCGTAAACCCGGCTTTTTACGAAGTTTAGCGAATGGCGCCCCAGGTCTCCAGTGGCGTAGCCAGGGGTGGTTTTGCTTGAAAATCCAGTTGTGAATATTTTGTCTGATTTTTCAGCCCAGATAACTCTTGTTGAACACGTAAGTGGACCTATGAATCGTTTTGATATTATGTTGTTGTTCTTGTTAATATTCTTCTCTCTTCGTCATGATAAAATCTCTTTTCTCTGCGAATACTGAACCAATTGCTTTGAATTTTTCAGTGGTTAAAGATTGATTTTATTTTCAGAAGGCTATTACTTCCTAAATTTTCTATGAATCTTATATTTCATCCGAAATTGCGCTGTATTACTTTTTAATTGTGAGAACACGGTTTTTAATCCGCCAAGCGTGACGGCTGACTGTGAAAATTCTTGCGACTGGAAACTCAGAAGTTTTTTGAGGTTACGGTACCGGTAAGGACTGCTTCGCTCTGGTTCACGTACCCATATATTTGAGCACCCTCGCAGATAACGGTTCCTAGTCGTAGCTCAAATATGAATCTCATTCTTTTCCTATGAAATACGTTGAATCAGGTTCCTCCATGTGTCCAATTCGAATACCATGTTTCCATTCCCAATGTTATTATTTTTTAGGACTGCCTTTTGAATATTGCGACTTATACTAAAGTTTCCCGGAAGACATAATTACAATTGAGCCATTTGATTCAAAACTAATTTTTGCAATTGCAATTGTCACGTCAATATTGACTTATAAAAAGTTAATTGGTTTGAGATGATCAACAGAGTGGATTTTTCAACATTCATTTAATTTTCACCACCGACCTCTAAAGTGGAATTTTTTCAATGGTGAAGTAAGACGAAGGAAATGTATATTTCAACGAATTTATAAAATCAAGATAGAACTGAATCACGAACCATACAAATATAAAAAAGACAATCGATAATAAATATTTATTCATTCGGATAACGGAGATCTATTCCACACCCCCTTGTGTGAAATATAAATTACTCGAGCATGTGGATTAGAGAAAATCGTGGTATTTAATTATTTTCGTCTGCGTTTTTGTTCTGGGGACCCGAGAGTACGGCTCGACTACTACGGTACTGGCTATTTTTCATTTATCGGATTTCAATCCAGCTTCATGCTGTCTACAGGTTTTTTTGCTAGGTCCTTGTTCTTAATTAATCTACTGCCAACGCCAGTTTTCCCTATACTACCATGGCCTAATTACCGACTAGCTTCCGTTCTAGGGGCATCTCACTATTCCTATTTTTAGAAACGAAAAGTACATATGGATCGTTTTTGGAGACAAAAAGTAGATATGAATCGCTTTGTTGGACATGAAATTTAAATATCGATAGTTTTGTTATTTTTTGCTAGAAGGCTATTTTGTTTATTTCAAAAATTTCTGTGGGGCTCTATTGTATTGTTTTTTTTTGTGACGACATCATCAAAATTGAGGGGAGTCCAGCAATCCTCTTGCGCATCAACTTATACATATAAACAAATTGAACAAGTTTCTCAAATAGCCAAGAACGCACCACTTTTACACTCTTATTGCCCAAGCCGATTTGGCGAGAACTTGTTTCTCAGTGAAACTCTCAGTGCCATGTCACAATGGTTTCCTCGATTACGTATTGTCTGTTTTATTTATTCACAAATTGTTAAATAAAACGACTGGCGCTGCCGCTCAATACTCATTATTTTGCACTTCTCTTCAATCTGAAACGCCTTTCCCTACTTCTGTTATACTGAGTATTCTCAAATGATGAATAAATAAACTTTCGATTTAGAAGGGTGGAAGTAGTATTTAATTTACAAATATTGGGATGCAGTTTGAAACAGAGAAAAAATGAAAACTTTGACGACATCTATTCTCTAGGGAGCAATTTCAAACCATCCAAGACCTTAAATCTGACCTTTTGCAATAAGATATTATTATTTATAGTAGTATAATAGAACTCTGTACAAAAATTGTTGAAACAAAAAAAAAACGCGAACTTGAAGTTGGAGAACAGCTTATATCATCTTCTACAGGTTTGCAAAACATTATTGATCTAAAAAAAATATCATTTGATAAAAACCCTTCACCAGTAGCCATTGATATCTCTGCAAGGAGTCCCAGAATCTGTTCGTTTCGACATGGTCTACCCAATTAATTACGCGCAAGGTTTTAATAAGAGATCCGAACCAAAGATGTGTAATCTGCAAGTCTAACGCTTTGACGGCTACTTCATCAGATTTAGAATAGTTAAAAGAACATTTTTCTTGTTCAAATTCATCTCAAACAGAACTAAGATACCATGTTCATGTCTGGTAATTACTGATTTAGAGTTTGAATAAGTACAAAACTGCATTTAGAAGGCATGAGACAGGACAATTTGTAGTGTTGGGGGCTCTATGCAAGCTACTTGAATATTTAAATGTGGTGGGACCTAAAATCTATATAATATTTTTGCCCCTCAGTGTAAATACCTTTTTGTAGCCATTTATATGTTAGAGGCTTACATTTAAAAATTAGACCAATAGCCAAGACACGATTGCATCCACATGCTGGCTGTTAATATTAAAGATATTACTGACAAAATGCCTTGTTTAAATTTTGATAATTAAATTTTTATCTTCAATTCTATCAGTGATGTACTCGAGTATATTCTCCTTATCAGTATTGTAAACAGAGGGTCCTAAATTAATTTGAAAATTAACCAAAATACCATTGCATGTCCATGAATAGATGGAAGCAGCTTCAACTGATCCTGGATCAAAGCATGATCAGACATGATAAGCTTTGTTGCATTTTCATCTTGAGACTGATCAACCAGCAGACAACCTTGGAAAATAATTTCTAATATAACTGGATGTCGGAATCTGTTCCACAATAACTGATAGACTCTCTGAACCTCACATATATTATATTGATAGAAAAGGTGAGGCCCAAAACTGTTAATATGATAGAAATCATATTATCTCTTTGTTATATTAACCAGATTTTTTCACGTTTATGCATTAATTCTCTTGATACATACCTAAAGCAAGCAATGGCAGTTCAATGGATAGAAATTGTTGTGCAATCGAAATTAAATTAATTTGCAAAAGAACAGGACAATCTATCAAAAAGTTGTATGAAACAACAGCAGCTTCGACCTGAAACGAAAAGTTATACAAAAAATAAAATTTAAACAAAGAGATTGAAAGAGTGTCCAGAAGGCTTTTAAGAATCAAGAACATGTAACCATGTGGATGTGGCAAGTATTGTGAACCTTGATATCACTCCAATTACACAACTAGCCTGAATTTGAGAAATGTAATTCAAATTTTGCCAAACTTATTAGAGTCTGGCATGAAAATAGCAGAGATGATACATACAATATTCTGTAACATAACAGAGAAAACAATAAAAGTAGAAATTTAGTAAGTTATAAGAAACAGTTTCTTCATTGGTACCTTCCGCTTAGGAATAGTGCAAACATTTACACTATCAATAAAATATAGATATGAACGTCAGAGCTGCTGCAAAATCCAGCAAAGAGAATTTCAAACATTTAAAGTTTTCATAAATCAAGGCCAGTGATAAATTCATCAGTTCATATTAGGGCTGTCCAAGCTAACCAAATGTTCGAAATCGAATCGCAAATTATTCAAATTGTTTTTTGGCTAATTTTCGAATCGCTAAAATTAGGTACATGAAGCGAAAACCACTTTTGCAGGATGTTTTTCATCTGGCAAGCGGCGGTGCTTCGAGCATAGACCACTCTTGCTCCCGGCTTAATTAGTTTCCCAATATTTCTCTCGCCTTCATTTTGTGATAAACATGTCATTCCTAATGCCCGCCCGGTGGCACATGATTAGCCATTTCATGCATGGTCATCATAACTTAAAAGTTATAATCGGTGATGACGTTTTTGAGAGAGAACAAGGAGAAAATGGCAATTTAGAAAACGATAGTTCCATAAATAAAATCGATTCGAAGCTGTTAAGTTAGTCATCATAGGAACATGGTACAGGCAACTCAAAGCTGAAACAGGTATTGTGGGATCCTTATGATGGCGATACCTTCTTTCAATGGAATTTGTAATTTCTTATGAGGGCAATACTGTAAAATCCATCTATATACCAAGACAAATAATGGCACTCTTGAATTTTGATGGCTGTTGTACACTAACAATATTATGGTCATCAAATAATATTGTCATCAAACTTGCTTCGAATTTGTTAAATGCAATTTTGAATTTGAGCAACAGTTTTATCTATATTAATGGTGGATATCATTTTGCTGGAAATTACACAAAAAAAATCGGACTAGTGAATAGGATTAAAATAGCATTTACAGGCTTTACATGTCCTATTAAAACTGAATCCATTAGAATTAAGATTGCAATTTTTGAATTGTGCAATTTTTACTCTTAAAACTCGACAGTTTTCGAAACCCAAATTTTGGAGTCCTCCAATTTTTTGACCAGTTCATACGAGCGTGTGAACTCCTTTCATAAATCTGAAACATTGTATTGCAAAATACCAGCAGTAAGTCAGATGTAACTGCACATACGTTACCACAACATCGAAAGGCACGTGTTTATTGTATAATAGATTTAGGATTGCGCAATAATATTCGATTATTCGGTTCGATTCGGCGAAAATATTCGATTCGAATCAAAAAATTATTCGATTTTGGACAGCCCTAGTTCATATGTATGTCTGGTAGTAGGTTCTTATTTTCTTACTGACCTCCTCTTCACTGAGCGGTGGTGTCATAACATCCAATGGTAAAGTAACACAAGTCTTCCAAACGGTGGAAAAACATGGCAGTGAGGAAATACAATCATGGCAGCCTATATCACGAAGGAGATGTCGAAGATAACAGACCTGAAATGTCAAGAAAAAAACTCACAGATCGTCACTTTTGCGAAACACCACCATAGATGCACCCAACACTGTAAAATATGTTCACAATAGTCTCGACACAAGATCTTATTAATTTCAGATAAGAATCTGCAATAGGATTAAGCTCGTCTTATCAGTTATTTTATCTGTATCCCATTGGAAATAAATAAAAAATCTAAAACAACCCTAATTCTGAAATCTTAAGTAACAACTTGATTTGAATGTGAAGTTAATTGCACTGCAGGCCGCAGACGTTTTTGCGAATCTTGACCATTAGCAAAGTTACGATTTGGGTTACAATTTACATAAAATATAAAAAGCAAATTTATTCATATATATACCATTAATCGAGTCAATAATTACTGGGTACTGAGTCGGACTGGGCATATATTCGAATTTTAAACTATTACAGTGCTTCTCAACCTTTCATTGGCCGCGTACCACTTTAGTGTTTTTTAGTCTGGATGCGTACCACCGAAAAATAAAAATTGTGGGGAGAATAAAGGCACAAGAAACGCGATACGGTAGCATATTATGTGGCACTACATCCATTTTTAGACCTTCGTGCAAAGTTCCAAAGTATTTATTATATGCAGTAACAACGTATTAATTGCGTGCAAAATCACGAGAGAATTCACCGTCAGAGCTGAATAGCTTTAATCATCGCGAAACGAATCGAATTATCGCAAAACTCGGACGAATACACTTTGGTCGGCGCTAGCTTTAAATTATGCCGATCGGCCAACACGTACATCTGGTAGCAATGGTAACACCGTTAGGACGTATCAAGGCGCATTCAAGGTATCTCGACACGCGTCGACGACTGCCGCAAGACGCTCCCTTCGTTGCCGATTTCTTAATATAGATACATTGTGGACGTACATTGTGGCGGAAACATGCCGTCTCGTTTTCTTTTAGGTGGGCAACAGCGAGCGAGATATAAAGATAAGGACTGGTAACCCTATAAACCCGTTCAGCGAATACATTTAGTATGAAAGATAAAGAGAAATCGTTTCCGCCATATTTTAGCCAACTCAAAAGCTAATTGTTGCAATAATTCAAAACGGCTCGCGTACCACTTGGAAAGCTCCCGCGTACCACTAGTGGTACGCGTACCACAGGTTGAGAACCGCTGAACTATTAGAATAGCAATTTACTATTCAAAAATTTAGTAACAGATGACGCGACAGGCCACTTGCGCGTCGCTTAATCAAACGATTGGAGTTCACAACTCACTTGCGGATTTCCGACGAAAAAACGGCAACCTAAATTGAAAAGCGGCAATACAAAATACTAAAAATAAAACGGAAAACACCATAAGTTAAGTTCTATGATGGTCCTCGACCGATTAAAAACGCTTTTTTAGACATTGCAAATCGCAAAATTTCGGGTGCTACTGTTAACTGTATCAGGGCATTTTCCCTTAGGATTCTTTGCTTTACTGCCTCAACATTGGTACGCACAGCACTGGAGCGCCGTAAGTGGTATACAAACAGCTCAGATTTGTCGAATTCACAAAAATACGAATCGGATTGTCATGATATTTTCTGAGTAGTATTGCTTCTATTTCGTCAACACAACCTCAGATTAAAATTATCACAATTAAATTAATATTGAAGAAAGGGGATTTTTTATTTACTAATATACTTTAATTATATTTTTAATAAATACTAAATCAAGTTGTACTTTCTGGAAATTTATAGCAGATAGTAGGATTTTTCTAACAGCGATAACAAATTCGCAAGATCGCAAAAAATATGTATCAAAACTAAATATACTCTCACAATATTATGTTCGCAGATTGCCGTGGCATTAGAGAAGTAGTGCTTTCATCTTGTCATAAGTCGACGCAACCGCGAGTGACCATGAACACAACTTAATTAAAATAGAAAGACATTTTATATTCTCGTCGTCGTCATGGATTGAATATTATGCGACAGAAAAGGCCATTCATACACTAAAAAAGTTGGCTCTATCAACAAATGCGCAATTGCGGCGAATTTCCGATTTTGAAATTCGTTAAAATTCTGTTCTGTTTGGTTTTATTACTTCTTCACGCAGAGTACATTTGCAATAAACACACGTTGAGTCCGCAAGGGCTTTCGCCGGTGAGAAAATAGTCTGCGACCAATAAAGGTTGGGAAACGCTGCTCTATTCATTAATGTTACAATACTTAGTCTTTTGCAAAAGCATTAAGCTGTGAAATGTTGATTAACCTAGTACTTTAACTTTAAAAAATAGACTTCATGATTACTTGTCTCAATGTCACAAGTTGCTGCAGCAGGAGTTGCCATGTATTTGGACACCAAGTATTGTATTCACGACACAACTCCGCTGCTACTCTAATAGCTCGCGGATTGTGTTGAAATCTTGGTGATGCAAAAATACTCCTTGCCACTTCATCCTTCTTTCGCTTCTGGAATTCAGCACCAGGTATAGAGAATCCGATGGCATCAAACTCAGTGAGATAGAATAACAATCGCAATTTCTCTCTATCAGAAAATAACTTTAGAAGACTATTTTTGATTTGAAAAGATATATTATATGCTAGTTTCAGGCAACTGATTTCGAGTGAGTCATTAAATTTTAGTCCATTTCCTGAAAATTATTTCCTATGTACCCACATTAGAACTTGTCATACCCTAGGACTAAACCCTTTTTCCAAATATCAAAGAATCAATATATTTACCTATAAATTTAACCATTAAAACACAACGGTAACAATGAACTGGTTTATCTAGAAACACTAAAATTGCTTGACAAGTGGAAATAACTACAAATTACGCTAGTATAGATGACAGAAAATATTATTTTAGCCTTTCAAATAGAAATTCTGTATGTGTAAACAAAATACATCTCATTCAACAAAGTTATCAATTTGTCGTGTTGAAGTGGGGCCATATGAGCTGTAACCTATTAATCCTCGCGGAGCAAATATATGGAAGTTTCATTAATAAAATTTTGTATCAATCATAGCAATACATTACCTAATTTCAGGAGCTTTCGAATTTGTCAATTCCTCAATCACATCATCATTAAAAAGTATCAACACACATTGTAAAGCTCGTACTCGACTTCTATTCATCAAGCGAGGATTGTTTCGGTCAAAAGCAAATCCTAACAGATATCTACAAGAAAATGAGGCAATAATTTTAATAATAGTTACCCAAACATTGCGCATTACATAAGTGCTAATTTTAACGTAATTCATTATCATGAGGATGAGATAATGCCTTTTCATAAAGTGGCATTCAACTTACAAATCGATAAATGACAATATAGAGGCAACCAAACTTTTTACACCATAAGTTTGGCGGTCAGCAGAAGCTCAAATTAAAATTTATTAAGACATTGTCACCGGTAGGGATGTCCGTATCCGAATACTAAACTATTCTAGAATGCTTCTGAAAAAACATTTCGAATATCGTTTAAACTAAATTAACAGAACCAAAACAATGCTACACCAGTGTTTGAATAACTTCATTCCCAACATAGGTAGGTGTAAGAAACATGTGATGTGACATAAAATATGATTAAAGTCTGCCAAACTATACTGAAATGAATTGCCGAAATAATATGAAACATTTTCCGAAAAAGTTATTTTCCAAATTAAGTGAAACAAACTGTTGCCATTTCAAGCTTGTAATAACAGATGTTGAAGCCAATCAAGATACTTTAAAAATTATCAAAAATGAGTCATGTGACAGAAACTTTTTTGAAATCGCACACTTCAACCAGTGCTTTTCATAACAAATTATGGCTGCAATGTAGAACATTCAACGCTCCCACATGCTTTCCAGTTAAAAAGGTAGACGAAATTAAGATGGCAAGTGTTACAACTTGCAAGCATTGCGGTAAATTTAAATTACCTGAATAAGATGATATTTCACAACCAAAATGAAGCCGACAAACAGCTATACCAATCAGAAACAACAAAATTGACGGACAACAAAGTAAGATTTGCACTGGAATAAACACTTACTATTATTTGTAAGAGCCGTTTAGATTAAACATTGTTTTTCGTAAACTTTAAATAAAATTAGCTTGTTTTTCATACTTTGTTGCGACGATGTGAACAAAGAACGTTTCCATGATTTATTACACAACTTACACAAAGCACATATTTGGACACAATTTATCTCATGTCTGATCTCGAATTTAGGCGAGGCGCCACAGCAAACTCCGAGCTCGAAACGCCCCCTTATAAAATATGGCTGACATTTTTAGCGTTTAAATAACTTTTATGTGGCGGTAAATATTCAATCCACGAGAACTACAAGAATTTTAAATATCATTTTGTATTAATTTGTCTGTGTTCAAGGTAAACTCGTGGTTACGTCGACTTACGACAAAATGAAAGACTTCTTTGGATATAATAATGTGAGATGCGGTTGCATCAACAAAATATAAGCATTATTAATACTCAAAATACCATGGCGATCCGCGGACATAAAAATGTGTGGCAAAGTGCTCAATTATATCTTGTTTTGATTTGTAGTTTCACGAATTTGACAAATTTGTGCTGTTCTTGTAATAATGACACCGCATTATCACAATGCTTTTAATATAAATTTAAATAATATCACCGTTAAACAAATCCCTGCGCTGGCAATAAAATTTCATGGAGTTGAATTTATTTCAAAAATTGATTGAAGATACTAAGATACTTTACATTAAATATTTTATATGTCGCCATAATTTGAAAAAAAAGTTACGCCAGGCCCCGTCGGTAGTTTAGAATGAATAAAAAATGCCACACGCTCACAATTAATTGTCTGATCACACTGGTTGTATAATCTTTCAGATAACGAATCATTAGTGAATTGCATATACTTATGTTAACTTACTTAGCTGTTTGCTTTGTCAGCATATGTGATAGAACGTAAAGTAATCTGATGACATCACCACACATAGACAACGACGTTCCAGGACTTTTATTCAGCATTTCTATTGCTTTCATATTAGCAATGTTGATAGTCTTTGGAATAGAAAAAATATCATAATTAACAAAATTGAAAAGATTTCAATTTTCTTCTAAATTTTCTAGTTTCCATCAAAAAACTATCAATACATATACAATAATGATTCCATGAGCAAATTACCAAATCGTCATCATTCGCTTGCGAAGTTGAATCATCAGACAACAACCATTCCATACAAATAGACATTCTCAATTGAAATATATTAACTGAATGAATTTCAGCAATTTCGTTCGCCGCTGAATGAATATCTTAAAAAAGTAGAAACAAATATGATGGTTAAACAATTGGTACCAACAAAACTTTTTATAATGCACTCATCTTTTATTAATAAAGGTTCAAGCCAAAATATGTAAAAACCAATGTTTGGCTTGCTTGCAAAAGTTTTAAATTGCACAAAGTATCAAAGGGGAGGATTGTGCAACAGATCCATGAATTGTTTTATATTTGGACCTAAATTATTATTGATACTTAGGCCAGGGTTACTGAAACTGAGCCCCCAAGCCCCCTCTGCACTGCGAGTCAAGGCTATAACTTGGTCCATTCACATTGGCTGCAATAATTAATTTGACTACAATTTATTGTCTGCAATGCATTCATGCTTTGGCTTGTTAGCTTTCTTATTATGAAGCGTCACAGCCAAAACAACAGATGGAAACCTGTTAGAAGAAAAACTAATTTTTTTAAGAAAGCAGGAGGTCACATGGTGTTGATGTTGAGATTCCTCAAAAGGTGGCCATGAATCAGGAAAGTTTGAGAACCACTAACTCAAGCAAAGTGACAACATAACAAGCCATAAATTGCAGATTATTGATTGAAAGCACCTGGGTACTTCTCTGCATCCGGTTTATAATATCTGTGTATGATACTTGGATGTTGATAAAGAAGATGAATCAAATTTTTTGGTGAGTGAGCCAGAGACATGACACTCTCTGTCACAAGATCATTTTTCTGGAGAGCATGTTCCGTTGCAACGCTGAAATTTAAAAAATCAATTATTCATTGGTAGGTTCATCTACAATAGTCAATAGTGCACTTGACATTGACCAGATAGTGATATTCATCTGAAGTAAGACAGGAAAATATATATCAGGTACAACATCAAAGTTTTTAAATACTAATTCAGCCATTTAGAGAAATCTATAATTCATCTATGTTCACAACTCTTTGGAGAATTCTATAAACTATAAAAGTATATAAATGCAAACGTAATAAACTTTTTTCTTTATTTAAACAATATACATATATTAATATAGACTCATGGATTCAAATGGATGCTTCCAAACCCCTGGGCAAAGCCATAGGGTGTTGCGAAACACTGATCAGTTGAAAAGCAATGATCTAATTAATAATAACTGAGCTTCCGAGTAATATTCAGCCATCCTCTCATGCATACACAGATATAATTGATGTAATTTATACTAATGTTACCAAATATGTTGAATAACAAGCATTTACCTCAAATAAAAAGATTTCAAGATTTTGCAAGTGTTGACAACTGTAGAATAATCAACAGCGTCTTTAGGTAACTCAGTTAACCATTGTTCAGAGAGTCGGAAGCACCTAAAACCAAATATTATAATTTAAGTAAAATTGATATGCTCCAAAAAGAGTTTCATTGACAGGCAGTGACATTGATTATCTGTTTTCAAGAATACAAATGTAGTGAAACATTTCATTGTCATCTAGTTTCAATTTTGGCAAATGAATATTCTATGATTCTATCTATACTGATTAGGTGATACTAATAGAAGCATTTTTCTATCAATCTTGATTGGTAAGTATGTTGATGGGTATTTTTCTGTTAAATACATGCGATTAAATGCGATTAAATGCGATTTTTCACGAAAGCGATGTTGAATCTGCTCCAAATTTTGCATGTGCATTCATCATATCTCGGATCAGAAGCCAGAATTTTGGATGAATTATGTCGTATAATTAGCAAGTTATTAATTAATTAGTGCTGAAGAGATCTAGATTTTTGCAAAGCGAGGGAACATGTATAACCTAGATTTTTGAGGCGAGAGCGAGTGTGAGTGCGATGCGCAAGTTTCCATCGAGTAAGTTTTCACAGTATTGTGTCAAAGCGAAGGATACATGCCGCTAGATCGATGCGTCGGCGGTCTCTGATCGCTATCTGGTGTTGATATTTCATTGCACATACAGTGGATTCAGTGGAATTTACTTTTTTATGAAGTATCCGAATCCCGGAGCCAGTAGCAAGCATATTATTTGTTTACTTTTTACTTCACAGTGGCGATAAGGATGATCATGTGTGATAAGGAGAATCGATATTTGTATGTAGATGGCATTCACATCAAAATCACGAAACATACTTTAGTCTGCTTACAAACTCATTTACAGGCCATTATGACCACATCTTTAAATGATTGATTTTGAATAGATATATAAGTTCTATAAAAAAACATTCTGACCATTCGCAAATTTCTACTTTTTGCTCAGAAATTGGCAATAGTTGTGCGATCCTTTTTGAAATCGCAGTTTTCATTCGTAAATCCTGAACCATGTCAGTTAAAGATCGAACATCTTTCAACTCTTCCAGAGAAAAACTGACATTTCCTTCATTTTTGTCCTAGTATATCAAAACAACAAATTAAAAAATATTTACATTGCTGAACATGTAAAGTTTTTTTTATATACATAAATGCTCAAAGGTTTACCAAGCATGTAAATAGTTCACTTCATTAGATTTAAAACATATTCAACAGAATATGGAAGGACCAAATTCTTACAGATTCAACAGTGCAAACTAATATTTATATAAACTGCATTTGATATCATGTTGTCTGTGAAATTTATAATTTTAGGAAAAATAAATTCAAAACCTACAATGTGTGTTCTTATAAAATTATCAGCAGCTGTCATAAACATTTTATCACTACTTAATGATAAGATGCGAACGATAGGTTCAAGTTTCAAAGCCGAATTTTTGTTTAGTTCAGGATTGATAATTTTCCATGCAACACTTGCATCCCCGAAAAGTAGTGGATGAAGAGGAAGCCTGAAACAAATAATTATTAGATGTAAAATGTATTCAGCTGTGTATTGCGGCATAAAGACTCACTATATTTGCGATAAACATTTTTACTCATTTTACGTACGTTTAATTTAGCAGGTGTTGGTAACAACATACTTGCAAGTGTAGATAGAAAATTACCGTAAGAATGTGTCAAAGACAAATTTTCGGATTTTCAGGTTCGGATTTTCACTTCAATGGGCTACTATGATTCGCTGTGTTTTTTTATAAACTCCATTAATTTTCAATTTTGTTACTTAATCATAAATGATTAAAATAGGCTTATTATGTGTACATGCAATAATAAGATTTCATATAAAAATGACGTATGTACCTCTGGGCTGATATTTCAGGTAGTTTATGACTAGTCCCCGATTCCGCCTTGATATTCCAATTCTCTCGTTCATAAGCACTGACAGTGCTGCATCTCTTTATCAACTTTAGACATTCTATAAGCTCTATACCCTGATAAAAATAGATGAAGATAGAAAATTTGATTATTGATTTGAAAAATCAAGTTAATTAACAATGTTAAAAAATATGTTAAAAACAACTATATTGCTCCTGATGATAGAATTCTGCATACAAAGACATTTGTATGTACACTACATTTCCTAATCTGCACTTATTCGAATTATGGGATAACTGAATGAATTCATTTAAATAATTCGTTCAATCTTGTAATAAGTAATTTCGTTTTTAACAGTTTAAAATTAACTATAAAATATATATTGACGAATATAATTGCAGCCCATGCATCCGAAACAAATACCTGGCTAATTAATCTCATCCATGGAATGAACTGGTAACCAGACGAGAGGCTGTGGTTCGCAGTCTTATCGGCTTCCTTCTCACCCGGGATAAATATGTAGGTAAATCATGTCCTATAGCTAATGAATACTATAAAAGAAGCACACACAAATTGGGAAAAACCCAACCAATTTACCTTTTTGACATCAACTTCAGATTGTACATTGTTGCAATCTTCGATAAGATTGAGTAGAAATTTGGCTCGTTTATAATAGTACGGACTACATTCCAGTCTCAATATTTTCACCAATTGCTGACAAAATTTCCTCTTATCACTTACTCTACTTCTGACAAAAGCTGTTTATAAAGAAACATGAAAAAAACAGTTATAAATCAAATAGTAAACAGATTGTTCCAGCCATTTCAACAGGCTTTCTGTGATGTCTTAAAACTGTTATGTTATATAATTGACGTAATTACCATCGGTATTGGAATATTAGTGATATTGGCAATATCAAATATCGGCCTATCGGATTGGTGAAAAAAAATGGTATCGGTACATCTCCAGTATAGGGTGGGAAGGTACATACAAATAGCACACTCGAACATATTGTTCAGTCACTCTCAGTCAGGGTTACCATCACACTTACCCAGTTCCTTTTTTACACTGGACCATGGCCTATTGGCATCTGGTTCCTCACATTGCGGTTTTGTTGTTTGGTTTTCCCATTTCATCAGTCGAATATCAAAAGGTAAATGCAATGCTGAAGGGCTAACAAGGATACCATCGCCAGATTTGAGTTTTTGTATTTCAGTTTTTACAAGGCAACTTGGATCAGAGAGCAAAACTCTCGTATACTCAATAAGAGTTGAAGTGATATCCATATCAAAATCTCTGAAAAAAATTGCATCATTACTGGTTTGTAAGATTGCTAGAAAATATGGATATTTGGAAAACTGTTTATAAATAGTTTTAATAGATTTCAAAATAAATACATAATCCAACTTTAGGAAAGGTGAATGTGTTCATATGAAAACCAAACAAATCGAAGCAGATGGCTGGTTACATTAAGCATAAGATCGGCGATGCGTTCTGCTTTATAATGATTGTTTCAAATTCAGCTTCAGATCAAAATTCATTCCAATTGAACCATGAAAACTACAGAAATCAAAATTTTACACCAATAGCAAAATCAAGCTTTTCACTATTTCCGGTCATGAATATCGTGGGAATTGTTCAAGATGAGAAATACTTGTGAATTTTCTAGAGAAGTTTGATTATATTCACCAAATCTTTCAAACTTCATGAACATAGGTATATTTTTTATGCAAGGAGTATGTATTTAATGTAAACTGCAAATAATTTGATTCTCTTTAGAAAGCGACACTGTTCAAATCTCAAGATTCGAAATGGTTTAAGAAATCACATAGCTCCTAGAGAAGTAGAAGTTTATAGGTAAATGCTACTAATTGAGTGACCGTGAGCTTGAGCAAACAAATAAAAATGAACCATCCGAAAAACTGACATATAAATGATATGTATTTTCACCCAAATACTACTATTGTTTGTTATTGTATTATTTTTTATTTAGCGCGTGTAATACCAGAATTCTCTCCGACAAAAATACATGAGTTTGAGTAAGAAACTGATCTGCGTACATAAATTTGATTTGTCAGATGAAATTTTGGAGCATTTAAGCTAGGTGCAAAACTTTCAATGTAATTCATACTAAGTAAGATTATCATTGAATAATTTGAAGTATTTCACTGTTAGTTCAACATACTAAAAGCAGAATTGATAAGGTTAACTTCACATACAAGCAGAAATCCACCAAGAGTTGTCCTTCCGAATCTCGATGATAAATCAATTTATCAAGTAACTCCCTCCTATATGATTGATGCGAAAAGTGAGCATGATCATATGGTATCTGAAAATAGTAGTGCGGAAATTATGACAAAATCAGAGAAGCAACAAAATATTCAAATTTCATGAATAAAAAAGAAAATTGGTATGTAAGGAGTCCAAAGCTGTGGAGACTAGAAATCCTGAAAAATTTTGATTCAGATTCCTAATCCAGATTTCAGATTGTGAAAAATTTAAGTTTAACTCAGAAGACTTCTTTCAACACTATTGAAGATATGAAATCCTGACTCCAGGAAACCAGACTCATGACTCCAGGAAATCAGACTCATGACTCCAGGAAACCAGACTCATGACTCCAGGAAATCAGACTCATGGCTCCAGGAAATCAGACTCATGACTCCAGGGAGTTTGAAAATATGAGCCCATCTCAAACTCTTATAATAACATGCCAAAGACTGCTCAGCTCTGATGGAATGAACAGCGAATCTTACTTTCTTGAAAAATTCAAAAGAAAATAGAAGTGCTCATTCCACCAGAAACATAAATATTAAATGACCACTAACTAACCAATGTCCAATGATGGAAAATATGACATGAACATACAGACCTGCATTGGTTGAAGAGTTTTTCCCCATCTTGAACTTAAAAATAAGTTTTGAAATCTTTCAACTTCTTGGTCCATCAAATTCAACCGCATTATTGCAATTCCTGCTTTTGCTATTGCCTGGTAGAATTAACCAAACAAATTAAGATGAACGATAAATGCATATTTAAAATAAAGAATTAGATAACAGGAATCATTGTAATAATATAACCTTTTTTAAGTAGGTTCAAGTATTACAAATTAAAGAATCGTCATTCACTCCTTCTGGCACTAGTGAGATGAATACCATCCATTGGCACATAAACAAAACTAGTTCCGAGACAATTCTGAGTTTTCGAAAATGTGCCCTTTAGTGACCCCACCCTGTTTTGTCTTTTTCGCCCCTGAGGAGCAATCTGCCCTCTTGAAAATCACTGATCTAAATTCTGGTATATGGTATGAGAAACTAACACAACATGGATTGTTATCATAAGCGAATAGTTTTATTGAGCAACACAAAACAAGAATATTATGTGGTTTGAATGCAGAACACTCACCAGTATTTTCTTGCAATCTTTGCCAGCTTTATTCAACTCTCCTTGAAGTAACTCGCGAGGTTTGGATTTTGACATCAGAGTAAGAAGGCCGATGATAAGATCTACGTCAACTACTTTCGCATTGAGCACCTTCGAAGAGAATATTTTTTACTGTGAAGTTTCATCCTGAAGCACACATTACAAGAAAATGAAATCTCATGTTGGATTATATTACACATCAACATGCACTTATTCACATACAGAACAATGCCGATACCTGACATGCAGTAACATAGAATTTATGCTAGGAATTAGTCAACAGCTACTTAACATTAAATTTCCACATACAAAATTTATCAGTGTAGAAAGATCTTGCTTGAGCCAGGCAACAACAAGCATAACCTATACAAATCATGAATGTGATTTGAACATGAATCTCAAATAAGTTGTTTGATTACAAGAAATGTGCAGAACATATCACAAACAGCTTGTTAATGAAGAGCAAACAAATAATAGTTTGTTTTATGTTGCTAGTTAAAATATTTGAAACAAATGATGAATTGGAAATTATAACTTCTGAAACAAATCTCCCAAATTTTTTTTGAAATATGATTATTACAGATTTATAAATACCTTAGTTATACAGTTGTCGATGTGCTCAGAGAGCATTTTGTCAACACCTTCAAGCATTGATAAAAGATGTTCCAATACCTTATTGCTTTCCTCTTTATCCTAAAATATAGAAATAATCTCTGCAAACACTGTTTGATTATGATGGTTAAATGCTCTAATTGATAAATTTTGTATTGTACCAATTGTTCACATTCAATGCTAACACAAGTTGAGGAATGGGAAAAAAAATTTTATGGCCTAATATGTAATCTACATTTTATAACAAATTTTACATTCATCTAATATTTAACTTCTTGTTAGGCAGAATATTGAGTAATTTATAGGGATGGCACAAAATTCGGATCCGGACTAGAATTCAAGTCGAATCTAATGATTCTGGGCACACAGATTCGATATCGGGTCCTTATTCACTTCTGATTTGACTCATTGGTGTCTCTATTATGTATGTTCACCTCTATGATGTTCAGTACAAATAATATCGCGTTCAAAATATGTGATTGGTCACATAAGATCTCTACAAACGCACATTCGTATGTATTGTTGTGAAGAAGATTTCACTTCCTTCATTGCTAATGTATTGTGCTTTTGGCCCAATAACCATGAGTATGAGCATCAACTGGACTAAACGAAACAAGCATACTCTTTCATTGTAGCAGATTATTGCTCCATTAAATCTAATATAAATGAAACCATAGGAATCATACCAAGGGGTTCCATCGACTTGCCAGTCGTCTCATGCTTGATCCAACACACATTATCATCCATAACAGTGACAGTTGTGTTTGTTGTGAGTTTTGTAATATCGTTGTCATTGTCAACGTTAGTTGTTGTAGTTCAGCGATGTCGCAATGACTGCTATCTGAAATAAGAGAAAATTTAAACAAATCCAAAAGAGGAAAAAAATTGAATGAAAATAGAAAATCAAAGGCTTCTTGGAACAGTTAATATGATATTAAACTTTTCTTGAGCTGATACACAATATATCGCTAAAAATTTAACAAGTCAAACATTGCCACCATGGGTAAGATGTTGGGCAGTGGGTTTGAAGACAAGATTTTAAAAGGCAATTCCATCAAAGTTAATGATTCCAAAATGCTTAAAACTAAGCCCGCCCCACCCAAAAAAAAAGTTGCAGTTGGAAAAACAATTGAGTTTGAATAATTATATAAAATCCGGTTACAACAGGTTAAAACGAATCTTGTAATAGTTCAAATCATGTAAATAAATGCATATAAAATATCTGATATTTGCTGATGTTGGCTATTCAGAAATATCAAGTATATTTTATCTCAACTTAATACTCACTTAAAAAGTTTTTGCAAGTCTGTGTAAAAGTAGGTAAAATTTCATGTAATTGTAACATTAAACCATTGTCTTCTTCCATATAAGGACACAAAGTCGTTAATTTTGCAAAAGGATTTTTCTTTGAAATTGATTCCTGTTGAACAATGAAGAGACTAAAGTCTATTTGGTTGGAGATGATAGATTTGATAAAGTCATTGATACATAATCACCACTGCACCTCTGATTACTCTGCCCGGGTTCGCAGGTTCGAATCCCATGCAGGGATGATTATGTGCGAGAGGATTGCTGGACTCCTCGTCGCCGCAGAGTGGTTCACGTAATCGCTGGGCGGTTACGGCTTCCTCCGCCATCAAGACATGCTTCCAAAAACAAATAACTAACTAATCGCATACCCGACTTGCCGTGGTTCGCAAATGAAAAAGCCGTCTTACTGGCTTTCTTCTCCCCTGGGATAAATATGTAAATCTTATCCTAATGCATATTTTGAAGCAAAAAATAACATTGGAAACCAAATTATTGTCCTGAATTTCGATTCAATCCAGTGCTAGTGCCAGTTATTCTAGTGACTACAGGTTGTTGTACAGTAAGCAAAAAAAATTACACATAAATTCAATTACAGTAACGATCTTACCCTGACAAATATGTCCGACTCAGTTCTGTTGTCCGTTACTCTTTGTAATCCATTGCAAAGGGTTAATATATTACACATCCCCATTCCATCTATTATTTTTTCTGATTTACAATGCATCATTGCTTCAGCAGACAATTCTAGAAGTTCTGAAACATAAATCATATTTGCTTCATTAGATACGGTTTTAAAAATCAAGTTTAGAAGCATGAAGAGCCCATAATATTTCAAAAAAGTATTCGAATATCAAAAAAGAATAGAATATTAGAAATCTTTAGCATCTTATACTTATGAATATTTGAGTTGGATGAACACTACATACAAATAATTGAAAAAATAAAATAAAAATTTTCTTCAATCCCTTTGATAAATAAACTCACGCTGAATAACACCTAATATTTTCTTAGATGAAAGAGGTAATTGATTCATAGATTCGATGACAACTTGAAATGTTGTTTGAGCTACTTCTTCATTTGGTGATATCCGCAGTTGATCTCTAAAATATAGAATTAGATCGTTGCCATGATAAATGACTGGATTTCAAGTTTGCATATCCTGATTTTTTTTATTTCCTTTCATGTGAAGAAGTGATTCTCAGTTCATTCCTATATAAGCGGTCTTCTGCCGGAAGATGAAAACAGAAATTTTTATCCCATTTAAAAAAAAATTAACATCACACCCCCGACCCAATTCAGTCATTTCTCAAAACCCTTTTTGATGAAGTCACTGAGTACTAATCTAGTCAGTAACTAATCAGTAAGTCCCCTAGCAAGTGAAAAAAAATGCCAGAACCAATTTTCGAAAATGTTATTTCTTACTGAACTACAATTTGAACACACATACACATGGTTATCATTGATCATGTCATGTCTAACCATACAATGAGAAGACATGGCAGTCAAGCCCGAAGGACAAACCATTACATCACAAATTAGTTCAAGCTAAGCAAAATTTATCTAGTAGGATGATGAACATGAAGGACTGCCATAGTGGTCAAGATTGATGCAATAAAAACAGTGTATACATAAATTTAAACAAAAAAAAATCAGGTATATTACCTGAATTTTGAGCTCATAGGACTCGAAAAAAATGTTGAAAAAATATACAAAAGTGATAGCTCTCTATGGACCTCTTCCTGTGTATTGAAAACTTTAGATAATTGGTCCATTAGTTAAGTCCTACTCCCAATGATAGATAATTTACCTGCAAAGATGCAGTGCAGTAGAAATGCCGAAACCACCTTTCTTTGCCGCATTCAACGCAATCCAACCTCTTAATTTATCGCTCGGAGTTTGCAAAATGCTAGCAATATTTAAAATTTGTGATAAACCAGTAGATGGAGTATCAACCATATCATGAAAATCTTTGATGTCCAATATTTTGTCACGTCTGAAGAATAAATCAAAATAATAACTAAATAAACAGTATCTAGATTAGGTTGATCGGTTCGGTAACTTTAAACCATATAATGGGAAATTTACAAGTGGACACCGACAAGAATAAGTTCATTCAAAAGCAATTGACTTTGGCAAGCTTAGGCCAACACAAAAAAATAATGTTCAGGTTAAAAGCATTTGATACTGAAGCCAGCTTTGGTCCCGTCATATTGATTCAGTCTAATATTATGAGAAGAGAGGCATGTACACCAATCCAAATTCAACTGTGATCCAGTTTGACCTCGGTTTGACAAGAATAAAGAAAAATATGGATCCTGATAAATTGACATTGATAGAAGCTTTTCTGTGATATAGTCATTTCATATATAACAAAATCCTTTGTAATGAATAACTTTCAATCCAAAGTCATAACAATTCTTGTGTTGTTATATTTCATACTGGTCATAGTTTTGACAGCGCCCACGGTTTCCCTAAATTTTGTTCAACACAAAACAAAATGTTCAAAAGTTTTTCAAATATTTCTTTGTATAAACACTCCTTTCTAGTACAAACAAAATTTCATCATATTAATAAGATAATAAATAATTAAACAAGAGTGTGATGAGATGAATTGTTCTGAAAAATGTAATAATAGAGTTCCTCACCTCAAGAACGCATCTTCAGTAGAAGTGATTATGTGTTTAGACTGAAATAAAGTGAAAGAAATTATTAAGGAGAGCAAACTTGAGTTATTTTCCATATACCGATTCCTAACTTGGCAATATTTTTTAATCTATTTAACATCGGGTATAATAGATATAGTAAATAACTAAAGAATTAAAAATATTTTTTTTTGAAAAATATTATTATAAGCATTTGGCATCTGATGGTCAGACAGATGGTCAAAATACACTTTATTAACTTTTAATAATGCCAAAAACAGAAAATTATTTATTTATTTATCTTAATTATTATTTATTTATCTAAACCAGGGGTTCTCAAACTTTTGGTGTTGCGGAGCCCCTGAAAAGGTTGACCATTATTCGCGAAGCCCCAAAAGAAATGTTAAAATTGTAGCTTTCCGATAAATATTCCTGAGTAAGTTGAAAGTACTTAACTTAATTTAAAGGCTAAACCTTTTTTAATGGGGTTAATGCAAGTCATAAATAAATCAAAATTTCAAAGATAAATTATATATACTCTTACTAAAGCTGTAAATTTGACACTTGACAAACATATTAATAAACTAGGGGTCGAATCTTTTCCCTTTTGACATTTTCGGAAGTCGTATTTTGCCCAGATCTTGTGATTTTTTTAACGGCGATATCTTGCTTAATAATAATCTCGAGTGCAAAAGAACAAATCAAGTTTGACAAATTCCAAGAATGCAAAAATACGACTCCAATTTATTCATAGGTGGCAGTTTATCACGTATTTTATGTTATTTTAGAATAGTATTCCTTCATTTTAGTAATCCTAATAGTAATCTCGAATGAAACTTGAGTAACTATGAGTACAATTGAATTATTACGACGAGACACTTTAAATGCTCGCATCGGCCATACATTGAATTTACGCAACAGAAATCTCGTTATCCGTTTTTTATAATCGCAAAGAATGTTGCGCGGAAATTTCCGATTCAAATCCCCACCTCTTGAGAATCCTGGCTGCGCTCCAGCTTATAAATAATGTCATTTTTCGATTCCGCCTCTTTGCCATATTTCGAGGCTATAATGTTGTCAAATTTTATCAAAGCTGTTATTGTTTCTTTGAACAGTAACAAAACTAGTCATTATTTTAAAAAGTAATCGGATAGCTCACGGAGCCCCTAGGTTTCTCTCGCGGAGCCCTGGGGCTCCGTACAGAGCACTTTGAGAACCTATGATCTAAGCCATTGATCAACACCCTACCCATGCCTTCAAAGCTTCAATATTCAATTTGGCCAGACACGAAAGAAGGTTGCAGACTCCTGATCTGAACTATTCTGCATTACTAGATTCAATTTCTATTAATTTACAATGATTTCTGCAAATCTCTCTGATAAGAAAACTCCAAATTAGAATATATTCAATCTTCCATAGTGAAAATATTGATATAGAATGTATTCAGGACAGCTGATTATCCAATTTTGGTCATCGCTGGTTACAGCTGCTATTCCCTTATTCCATTTAAACAGAATATACATACTTCATTTGCAGAGGTAGATTTTGATGAAGTGGCAAAATCGAAAGAGGAACTATAACTTTCAATATATTTTGATACAAGCGAGGATCGAAATTTTTCATCTTTGTATTCGTCAACCGATACGACTTCAGAGCATTTGACCTGGTGAAAGAATTTACTTTAGTTATAAACTAAATTACAGCTGAACAAAAAGGTTAGAGTATCTGCATAGCAAACATAAACTGACAAAATTCAATTCAATTCACCATGTGCACAATTCTCTAAACAAAACATGTGAAAATACAAAGCCTTTAGTTATAGCCAGACCTGAGTACATTTAAGCCTAACATGCACGGTAGGTACTAAATTATATCTGTCTTGGAATTGGAATTTTTAACTGCTTGAATGTGCTGATTTCACTTAATTTCAACCACAATTAGGATATTGATAATATGTTGAAAATAGGATAATATAATGCTGTATCGCAGGTGATCTAAAGGCAAAAAAATGGAAGGAACACTAACCAGCCAACATCAACTGGCTGTAGTTTGTCACAGGGCTGGAGCTGGAGCCAAGCATACCATATTTAATGTAGCTGGAGTCAGACCCTTGCGATTTCGAACCAGTTCCCCAGTCGTAGTTTATCACACTTTTAATTGGTGAAGATGTACTAAATTAGTGATGGAAAATATACCATGATTTTCAAATGATCTCCATCACCATTTTTCGAATATATATAATACTGTTGATTATCACGTCGAAAGGTCTGGCAATGATAAAGCTGAGCCTGCATCAAGATACTGTCTAAGCCTAATTGAGCATCCAATGAAAACAGAAAACAACAAGTATAAGATTGCTCTTCTAATGTATCACCTGAAGCTTCGAAATATTTTCCAATAGTTCCAATTTGTCTCGTAAGAACAAATCTAAGTTGTCAAAGTTTTTCACAGAACCAAGTTTTCCACTTTCAAGTCTATGGAGTAAATGTTCTATCATCGATATTGCAGCACTGTATGATAAAATAATTATTTTGTGGGTAATAACCCATTTTTCATAATATCTGTGAAAAAGCACATTGTGACATACATGGTGCGTGGTGGTTTAAAAAAAGATTACAATCATATTTTATTGATAGCTCAAAATCTACCAAATGTCCTGCCAACTACAGCGTTGTGGGTGATGAGAAAACTGAATCCCAAACCTGCAATGAGTGACTCTATCTTCAATATTGATATCATCCGAATCATCCAGATAAGTTTCAGCTAAACAGATTATGTGTTTGACAAGACAAATATCAAGAGAATGTTTTTCTTTTTCGGCTTCGATCAGTAAATCCACACAATCGTTTACCTGGGCATAATGTATGTAAGATTCTTTACAACAATTTTTGCACTATACTATAGTTGAAGACTTGAAAAACTAATGACTTAATTTTGAATTTGAATCCTAATTTTGGTGCAATTTTTCTCAATTTTAATTTTTTTTAACAATGAGAATGTTAAAAGTACAATTGTTCTACAACATGTAAGATGTGTCTGTTATGAAAGGCTTTCATTTTTTTATGACATATTCATATACTTTATATATTAATATACTTCTTAGAAGATTCACAAAATCAGCATGTAATATCGTACCTTGTTGTTACCTAGCAGATATACTAGACGGAACCTGTACATATCAATGTCTGATATTGTTGTGAAAGTTTTACGAAAGTGATTCGCTTGGGTTAAAGATTCTTTGGTGTTCTGACAAATCAAAAACCTGACAACTTGCTGAAACATGAAGAATACATATCAGTTACCGTAAAAGAATATAAATTTTTATTCCAAGGGAAGCATCCCTAGCTCATTGAATTATTGAATGTGTTCTGAATACATTGCTGGAGAAACTTTTGTATAATTAGAGGGCATTTATTATTATATGATATAATACTGATCATAATTTACATAAACAATTGATTTCAATAAATTCTGAATAACCACAATAAAACTGTTGGCCAAATTCATCAAACAAAATCTGATAACTTGATGATCTACCTTCAGCATTTCATGTAATAAAGTCTAACACTTTAACCGATAAGCCATCGTGCTAACTTAAACTGATTCGCTTAATATCAATCAATAGTCCTCTTAGGCATTTAAATTCTTGTTGGTTTCACTTTCAACAAAAAAGTAAATTGAAAATAGAATGAAAACATACCATCAAGGAGGATGGATTTTTTATATCAATGGTAAATAAACCATGCTCTGCCAGTACACCAGGAAGTTGTTCAATATGTTTCCAATATTGCAATTCTTTCAAAAATTTAGAATTTTCATCCATATTTGCACATGTATCCCCTGTATCCTAGAAAATGTTGGGTGTCATTAGTAAACAGTATGTGTCTATTCTCAACATCACCTAAGAGATAAAAGTTCTATACATAATTAAACTGAATTTTAATTGAGCGATGAGAAACCGGTATGAGGCCTGCGTGTTTTGAAACCTCTGATGTAGTCAGTGTAATAAGAAGAGTTTTCTAACTAAAGTTTACTTATCTGATCAAATGATCCACATCATACATTAGCAAAACTGAGAAAGAAGGTGCATTTCACACTATGCAATGCTACTTATTTAGGATCATCTATAATGTGCCACTAAGCTATTTATAGACAAAAAATTGAAACAGGCCTATAATTTTTGACAGTTCAATAATAAAATGAAAAAACCTGCCACATTTTATTTAATATTTAGTGTTGCTGATCGGAACTTTGAAAAACAGTCACAGTCATGGGAGAAAATCAGATATTTCAGACTGAGTGACACCCATCAAACATGTATTTATAACTTTTATTTTTCTAGCTATCACTATAATGACCTAACATAAGCAAATGCGGCTATAACTATGAATCAAATTTGTGATGCCCCGATCAAAGATTAAGTGGAACAACATTCTCCCGTCACATGCCAGTTTATAGAGTTGTATATGAACAAAAGTGGGGTAGTTTAGTACCCCATAACTACTATCAAATTTAATTATATATAATTATAATATTTATTTACACGAAATTATAAGGTGACCGTACATTTGCACCGGTATATCCGTGGATTCAATCTATATGCAGGTGCTAAAATCCATGGGTTTGGGGTAGTATGGATTTAAATTATGGGTGTAAATGTACGTGGGTGCAAATGTAATGGAACCAATTATAACAATAATATTTAATTACATATATAACCAGAACAATGCCATTTTTGAAATATTCGTATAGCACGCACTATGGGAAAAAAACATTTACTGATCTGACTATTCTAGAAACAAACCTTGTTTGCAGACTGAGCCATTTTTATTCCATTGTTTACAAGTAAGTGAATGTCTTCAGACCATGGTACTGAAGCTCCTTTCGCAAGTTTGACTGTAGCTTTCAACAGAACCTGAAATAAGTAGTACCTATAAAAGTCTAATTGGATTCAGATAAAATTTGTTTGTTAGCGAGATGCAGTATAAGAGTACCTGAGAATCCGTAATGCATTGTAATATCGCAATAATTCTTCTTTGCATCAAAGATTCCATTGAACCTCGTGATATAGAATGGAAGCGTGAAAATAGATCCTAGAAAATATACATTTAATAAAAAATTATTCCCCATAAATACTAGTTAAATGACATACAAAACTAAAGATCATATCGATTTCAACAATCCATTTTTCTATTGTTATAAACATACAGAGATAATAAAAATTTACAATCACTTTTATTGAAGGTCAAAATGGGCATCTATTCAAACATACTAAGCTAGTGGTTTTGGCAAGAACAAAATCAATCAATATCTCCAGTGGTAAAATGGCAGTAAAATATTGTTGAAAACAGATAAGTTAACTTAAATACAAACCTCTAATAAGCAATTCAGGATAATTTACAATTCTAGAATATTCAAATCAAATCCATAATAATATCAAATCCTAATCTTTTTTATTATTTATTCTATTTATGTACCGGTATTAAGCTAAATGTTGAATCAGACCTCAAACTAAATAATAGTGAAATCAATGTTCTCAAAAAAGTAAATGTGTTTCAATTTTCCTGGCATTTTGTACATTCAGCATTAAATTCCTAATCAACTACAGTGTTGAAAGGCTAAATTGATAACACCACTGGGCCAGTAGGGAATTTTTGCACCACATCACTCAATTAAACTTTCATATTACCAATGAAAGTAATATGAGCATTCCATTTCAATGGATGCCGTCATCACTGTCAGACTGTCAGTGTCAGAAGTTTAATCTTTTTTGGACTTTACATGAAACTATTACCCAGTATAATATATATTATGTTATCACTAAAATGATATTATAAATCAAGAAAATGGGGAATAAATAACATATGGAAACAAGCTTGAATTCGTTATTTATTTCACAAACGTTTCACGGCATTACGATGAGATTTAAGAATTTATGGTGTCAGGGTAGAAGTGGACAAATACACATATTGCAAGGATGCGTATCGAAATTCTTGTTGGTTAATACACCACCAAGAGCAAACATACACCTAACATTTACAAGTGGTCAATATGAATCATTGTCATTCAAATTTCATTATAACAAAAGACATCATCTTCTTGAACTCGGAAATTAACTCCTATTTTTGAAGAATATTTCGCATTTTCGGTATATTTATTACTGAGGGCAACACGTTTTTTCAATTTGCCAATTAAATTTCTTTTATTCTTATATATTCAAATAATATTTCTGGAAATTCAGTTTTTTATTACCGTTCTACATACACAACATGAAAGATCATTAAATGGAAAGAGAAACATAGTACACCTGACAAGAATTAAAAGCGAGTGCGAGCTGAAATAAAATGTTTGTTCTCGATCAATAGCATGTGTACTGCAAATATGATAATTTTTGCACAGTGACGAAAGGGCACAAAGTAAATCCTTCAATCGGATTAATTTACATTTGAATAGTTTGGGATTGAGAATTACCTGGATTTGATATTAATGAATAGAGAATTTCTACCTCGACATATCCAAGTAAAACTTCCTCTTCGCTAAGATTATGTTCTCTCATATATGGCCGTACAGTCTGTTGTAGCACTGAAGACATTAATTCTGGAACCATGACCCGATCCAACATTCTGTACGTCAGTGACAGAGTTGTTTCCTAAATTCAAAACTGCTTGAGTGTATCCAAATAAATTCCTGTTCATCCTAGAATTACTTCCATTTGTTGCAATCAATATTTTAAAATTATTTAGTTAACTTAAAACCATTTTTTTGTAGAAGCAAACATCTGCACTACCTTTATGGGAACCTTCCAAGAGACCAAGGTTTGGTATGAGTAGAAATTTTGGTACTCTCGTAGTGTATGTACCAGGTTAGGGTTAGGCCATAATTTTTTCAGCCCATAGGTTTAAGTCCCTTTATACAACTTGATGTAAAATTGGCGAACAAAATTAGTTACCTTCATTTTGGTATGCTGGAGTTTTTAGTCTCAGAATATCCATATTAAATCCTATAATATAATAAAAATATTACATACAATACCTCAGCAAACTCAGACAAGGTAATGTTACACTTGTACTTTTGTTTTAATTGCAAAAGAACTTGTAATCGTGACGATAGTAATCTCAACTTTGCAACTTCTTCTGATGTTGATTTGAATGCCGGAGAAGTTGCAGATGGTAGAGCTCTGAAGATTCAGATTCAGATATTTATTTCGTCGTGTATGAAACATTGTACAGACAAAATTAAACAAATATAATAATAAAAATATTAAATAAACAAACATACAATATTTCCGCAATTGACGCAGGGCCGCGAAAGACTAAAGTAAGTCATCGTGTAAGTGGCACCTTGTTTGCTGAATTAAAAAGCAGATGAAATCAAACAAACATTACTAATAAGGATTATATCATCATGACTTGCTGAATAAATCCAATTTAATAAAAAACATAAATGAAATATAGCAGAAATTTAATAAATGACTAAGTAGTCAGTTGTGCTGTAACGTCATGCTCGGGTGAGTGTAAGTACAACAAAGAAATTGCTGATAACATGACGCGATATACGGTAGGTAGTTAGCAACCACAAAACGGGAAATTAGTTTTGTGGGTTGGAGTTACAGTGAATCAATAAAATTTAAATTCTATAAGAGAAACGATATAGGGAATAAGCCACACTACAGAAATTGAGATGAATAAGACATGCACAATAATGAAAATATTAAGTACGGTATATGCTTTTAGATACGGGAACCTACCGTTGCCTACAGAGCCACAAGCGCTGAAACAAAGTACTTATTTTCCCAATTTGTTTTTTTTTCAATTAACAGCCCTGGGCGTTATTCTGGGCAACCACAGTGAATGTGACTTCAACCACACAATTTCGTGCAAACATACTTATGATAAATTATTATACTACATACCTTGTAAAACCCAATACGGACATTCGACTTTGAACATTGAAAAGTACATTCGTCATTTTTATTCCATTTTCCGGCCATTCTGAAGGTTGCGAATGTTCATAAGATTCAGCTCGCATATGCAACCAACTTGCTAAAACCTATAATAAAAAGGCATGATATGTAGGTTGAATTAAGAATTCGAAAGACTACAAGAAAAAGTGTGCAAAGATGTATAAAATATTGCTAAAAGTGTTTTGCAGCCTTATTATGTTACAATATTTTTCAATGACCAAGGTTTAATAATTAGATATTAATTTAGGTTTTGGGAAGTCGAATGACAATGTGGCATCAACCTAGGTGAGGTACAGTCAGCGCTGGGGTGCCAAAATCATAAAGCTGTGATGATTTGTTGGAGCTCGAGCCAGAGCCAAGCTTACTATAATAGATGTGGTCGGAGCTACCAGAAAGTTCAGTGACGCTCCAGTACTTAACTATCTGATCATTTTCTCATGTTCATAATTATCTAATATTTAATATAAATAATAAAATCTATCATCGGCTTATAATTTTTTTCAAATTCAATCGTTAATATCAATTTCAAATTTAAGTTAAATTTCATTATTTAGAAGTCAAACGTTCAACTTCAAAGTTTGAAACCCTTATATCAGTTTTGAGTCGCGCTTCTACGAAACTGCATTTATGCTGATGATTCATGGTAGAGGTCAAACTATCATCTATGGTTTCGGAGCAAGAACCGAAGCCCATCTATGAGGTAAGGCAAAGTCTTCCCCAGCATCAAGAACATAAATAGCACAAAACCTGTTTAAAAAATTGGTTACAAAATGCATATTCTCTCTTACCTTCAAACTGCATGAAAATTTTGGCAATAAAGTGGGTAAGAGAGAATTCTCTAACCAATGAACAACTTGATCAACATCAGTAGTATCTGGAACATGTTCAAGAAATTCCTCGAGACGCTTTTCAAGAGGAAGAGGATTTGGACAAGTAGGTCTGTCCAAAAAATTGAGAAGACACGCCTAAAATTAAACATTAGAAATATTTCCAAAAAATGAAATGACAAGGATTTCAAAAAACAGAACCTTAATGTTAATGATTTATTTATGCATATAAGATATACCTATACATAGGCATGTAAAATGCTCATGCAATATTTTATATAACAAAAATGAAAATAGATATAAGAAATTGCAATACAGTCCTCATACTGACCTTATGCCTTGAAAGTACGATAGCGGAAGCTGACATATTTCCAGCATCTAATAATCGTACAAGCTCAAGTGGAAGATCAGTATTACAAAATCTTATCCAATCTTTTTGATTGTACCCTGCGATACGAAAAGTTACAAGTCTGTCCATTCGATGAATGATCTAAATAAAAAGTCATGTTAGATGGTTATGGATTTCATTATTGGTAATCAAAATGAAATTATTGTAATTATTCGTCATTATCAACACCAGAACAATAATAGGTTCTAAAGGTCTTTTCAGCTATGATTGTCCAATTTTGGGATTTGCAATAAATAGAATGAATATCCAAATTATCAGTCCTCCCTTGAAATGTGCAAGCAATAAGCAATTGTGATTTGTGAATATTTCTGATTATCCATTCTGTCAGACATTTGTGTCTGTGTTGTAATGCGTAATGGAAAAGGAAATAACAGATTTTAGTGATAATGAGCAAATATGAATGAATCTAAACAACAGCTGAGTTAGGCAGTTTATAATAATACAAATTACACAAATAGAATTTTCCTAAAAGCGCATTACCAACCAACCAATGCTTTTAGATTCAGGTTTAATTATTTCTTTCCACCAATATTGAATATTTCGGCTATCTTTCCTACCTCCGATACTAACTCTTTTTCATGTTCATTTCTATCCACATCATTATAATTGAGTCTTGATTGTCCAATACTAAGAAGTTGATAATTCCTTTTAACATCCGGTATAATTGTTTCTAGACAAAACTTCACAACAGCGATGCCATCATTCAATCTGAAAGAAACATAATTATATTTTTCTGTGAAAAAATAACATCAAATGTATTAGTCAAACAGCACCAGAAAGTAAGCCCAAGACGAAAATAAATTCATAATGTTTACTAATAAAAGCACTGTAACAAACAAAGGATCGCATAAGTCAACAACAATAAATGCCATATAGGGACTGAGCAACCTAACCGACATATAATTCATACCCAGCGAAAAAGCTGGCAATTTTGAAAATGTGAGCGCTGTCACAAATCACAATCCTTATGAAGGGAAACACAGAAATAGATAATCAAATGTGATTTTAATTTTAAATATTACTGGGTTATTTTGTTTTTATGATTAACTTTACATCGTTCTTTTATTTATTTGTCGATGTTCACACTCTTTTCAACAGTGGGCAGTGCATTCGTTTGTCGTCAATCACTGAATTTACTAAGATGATTCGAGTGTAAAAAAGCTGTATCAAATACGGGTTTTTTTAAAATAAAATAGCCATGTGTGATGAGGTAATTTAAATGTGTATAGTCATTTCACAAAATGCCACAACTTTTGGTGAAATGGAGCATGTTATTAAGGATCATACGTATGAATTTGATAAAAACATGAATGCAAAATAATCTCACTTTTTTAGGCACTTGATAAACTCAAGAAACATGGTTTCTAAAGATGATTGATCATTTTCACTCAATCCTGATATTTCTGCCGATAAATAAGATGCCTGGAATTAAGGAAAACTATAAGCAAGAGTTGACTGCCTAGAGCTAACAAATCATAAATACACTGGCTAAGTCCTATTTCTAAAAGTACAATTAATTTTGCTAAATCGCTGGTTATTAATATTAAAAACAAGCCATTCACTGGCAGGGCCATAATATTCAATTGCATAGAATTACAGCAGTTTTTATTATTACAAAATTTCCAATGAGGATATGTGAAAGAAGAAACCCAAAATTGACATCAATCAATGTTTTATATAGCCCCATTCTAGATCAATTTCAATAAAAATTCAAAAAAACCTTTCCAAAATAAACTTGTTGAATATCCACATTGAGTGCCAGAGCAAATTTCTCTGCTTCATCAAATCTACGATTATTTATTAGCCTTCGAACTCTATCTTCAGGTGATGCCTCGCTCACTTGATTAAGGCATACTGATAAGTTTCCACTAAAAACAATCAAGCTTTAAATAAACAACAAAGATAATTTCAAGTATATATCATTTAAAATTCAAATTGTCTAAAAATATACCTAAATAAATATAGATAAACAAGGCTATGATTAACAATCAGCAAAAGGCTGAAATGAAACATACCGATCTTCACAGCTGACAAATAGTATATCTTCAAGAAAAGGTGATCCAAATGCAATTGTTTGAAAAGTTGACTGTTGTAATGGATATTCAAATATCTGTGATGAAAATTTTAACGAACTGACCAATATGTGGTATGGATAGTGGATATATTCAGCTGTCGGGGAATCATGCTCAGCATTAGGAATAAGCTTGTCATAATCTAAAAGCTTGAATCAGAATAATAAGAATAAGCTCGTCATCATTTACGGCTTCTCAGACCATCAAATCCATGCATCAAAAACAATTAACTGGTTAACTATTCTCATACCCGACATGGACTGGTAACCTGACGAAGAGCTGTGGTTTACCATATCACTAAGTTGTCTTATTGATTTTGCTTTCAAAAGAATATGAAATAAACATCCTATCTTAGGTATGAAAAAGAGTAGCCTGTGTAAAGAATTCGTACCGGTGTTATAGTGGGAAGTTGCAAGACACAGAACTTCTCATACCCAGACGCATCCGTTACAATTGTATATAGTTTTGCAAACCATTGATAATTCATTCCATGTATATTCGTTCTGATTAGTAAATAATGAGTAACAAAAGTATTAATACTTCCAAATATTATTTGCGTTTGACATAAAATAAGAAAATCAAAGAATCGGTTAATTCAGTATAGCAACTTAACAATGTTGCTATCACCGTTGTGAGTTAAACACCTTACCTAGAGTGTAATTAAGTAGACAGTGCCGAATTGAAAAGATTTTATTTCTAACAAAAATAGAGAAATTCTAATTTGTGTCTGACGATCAGATGCGGAATGTGAATATTGTTATACTTTTTAATAGAAATATTCTAAATTTTTCTGAATTCATGAATTTACTACCGGTATATCGAATAACAGCATTTTTGAATGCATTCGGATGCTGGATTTATTTTGCATGTCCCTGAATTATCATCAAGGAGATGACTTAATTGTTATTGGTTTACCATTCTCTACATTCATAGTATAAAAAAGCACCTCTTATCATCAAATTTGAATTTAATATAGTATTATTACATTATGAAAGAAACAAACCTTAAATTTACACTTCCAGATTTGACAATGGCAAATTCCTTAATCTTCGTGTGCTTCCATAATCTCAAAACTATCAGATCTTTGATATCCAACAGAAACATACAGCCCTGGAAACAAAATAGAAAGAGTGAAAGTTGAAATTAGGAGAAGATTAGTTATCGGTGGATATTTTCCATTCATTAACAAGATAAGTTTAGTCTAGTTAAGAAAGAACCTGTGGATAGCTTAACAACAGGGTCTTTTTCTTAATAACTAGTTTGCTATTACCTTAGAATCTAATGCATATAAGTGATCCTCAATAAGAATGGATTTTACGATGCTAATGTTTCCGTCTTCATAAAAGAGATCAGAGTCAGCATAAAAGTTAAGAGTGAAAGGTGAAGATTCATCGCAATCAATTTCCACAAATGGGTCAAAGTCTTGACTCCACAGAGAAACACAACCGTCACCCCTGCCCTGCAAACGTTAAATTTGTTCTCATTATTCAACTATCAGGTTTATTATATTCAAAAATGATGGCTGAGATTTAGTATAGAACTTTTCTATCTGTATCTACATGGTGTTCATAAAATCTTGAATTTTTTTTAACTTGCAAAGGGAATTTACCGATACCCATGTACAGTTTGTTGGTCCCTACAGGCATATTGAAAGAAATAAAAAATTTAATAAAATTAAAAAAATTCTGGTTAATAAGATATATTGAGAACTAACTTCATGAAAAAATTGAAATTGTAACATGACTTTATGAAAACCCTGTATATATTTGTTGTACTCCGGTATTTTATCACTTCAATATAGAATGAATCATAGTTGTTCAGCCCATCATAGAGAAAAAAAATGCTCTATTATAATGGAGTGTGTAAATTCATAAGGGTCTAATAACATTCCACATTTGAAAGTGTGATTAGCTTCATTCGGTAAGAATTATTACACAGATTTCTATCTTTTACTGCCTTTTTAACATTCACTGTATGGAAAAGTTACCGTAAGCCCTAAATGAAGTTAGGCCCAGTTCACAAAGATATGCCATTCATAGAAACAAATGACTTATGCCTTTGAGTCGCATAAAATTTATGCCATTTAACTGAAATGTAGTGTAGTAATATTAATATGGGTGCCTAGGGCTTTATTAATAAAAGTATGAATATTCTAAATCCAAATTTTAAATATCCAGATTTTTTTCACTACAGTATTAAACCAGAGACCCAACATTTTAGACTAATGGGATGCTTGAAATGCACTCAACTCCTATTTCCTTTCTCTTGCATTTCTATATAAACTAGCTCAATGTCGAGCTGATTCATAACAGTTATCGTAGTCTATTCCCTGCGCCTTCAAAACTAATTTCACCCCATAAAACTTACATGGGTTTTTTATTCTAACCATGAACTCCTTCACTGTAGTAGGTTTTGATTAAGTAAAGTTAGTTATGGGTTACCGTATATACTCACAGATAGGTCGCAATTTTTTCCTTATATTTGAAAAAAAAAAATAGGTGCGACCAATCGCTCGACATAAGTCAGGGTCTGAATATACTGGCAATTTGATACAGGTTTGTAGCGAGTTGATTATTCATGAAAATCGCATGGTCTTCGCTTGCGTACATGCACTCATTATCGCTCACAGGTGTCGATAAACATATTTTGATTATATTAAGCCCTACGAAAAATAAAATAAAATAGGAAGTTATCTACGCAAAAAAAAACTAGGGAAAGGACCTTTGAAATCCCTAGATTCTCAGTGCGACTTATGTGCTAGTCAACTCTAGAACACTTACGATTGTAATAAACTTTTGACAAAATCCATCATTGAAGCCAATCATGTCCGTAATAGCATTATTATGTACATCTGAAACATTGTATGATTTTATATTCATTTGCACTTGGAGTGATTTCATTAGTTCCACATCCTTGGTGATATGTGCTAAATAAAATATAAAGAAGCAGATATGCATTGTATAATAAATGTTACAAAAATATTAAATATGCCTGGATTATAAGGTTTACAAACCTTTTTTAATCAATAGGTCGAAAAGTATATTTTGTCACAGGACACATGAGTGTGGGTCATAGATATTTAATCAATGCCTGTATCAATGACAAACTTGCTGTTGCATCTTATCTTGTAAATATTATAATCATTGGTTGGTATTGTGTAGTTTTGAGCTTCATACATATAGCGCTTATATTAGAACTGAGGCATTTTCTGATACTCAATTTTATGGAGTTCATATACAAAAAAGAAAATTTCGCATGCACATCAATTACCAGAAAACGTTCAGCATGATCTTTTTAATGGTTTTAAAAAGGAATTCCACCCTCTAGTAATTTCTATTTTAGGATTGACTTTCTATTGTATCGAGGCATTACCATCCTGCTCCATTGTTATATCAGGTCTCTATTTTATTTTCCAGACTACATTGTGAGCGGGAAAATAATATATTGGTCAATGCAGCTCCAAACGAGTTTTAAATGCACCTCTTTTTCATTTGAGAGCATATTGCTCAGCATGAATTTCAACATTTTTAATTTCGAAAGTCCTCATCAAGGAGTCGATAATGACAATGAAAATAATCATACTTTGAAAAAATATTGATGCATTCTTTTTATGAGTTTACTAAATTTAAATAACCTTTTTTTAATGAATGTAGCTTGATATTTGAAAACACATAGAATTCTGATGAGGTCAAGGCAACACCAATGAAGAAAAAACCTAGAACAAAGAAAATGTTCATTAATTTAACTTAATAAGGTAATAAAGTAAACGTATATTTAAATATTACTCAGAATTAAACCTGACAGATGCCAGAAACAAAAATACCTACAAAAATGTTCACTTTTAGCGCAGCGTATCCCTACTTTCAGGATATGAAATTAGCCAAATAGGTACATTGATTTCACTCAGCATTGTGATAAAACTATCAAAGAAGTAATTTTACCATCTATGCATAGTAAAACATTTTATATTAACTTGCTTCCAAACAAAAAATTTTCCACCTTCAATTAGTCTAAAATTACACATGTATATATGATATTACTGGATTTAAAATATTGGGGCAGGATATAAAAGGCTAAGTTATAATCGCGGTCTACAGTGCCTTTTCGAATCCTTTCACACTTTTCACACTTTCTACAAATTGTCAAATTTCATTAACTATTGTAAAAATTTATATTTAGATCCCATGAGTAAGGATAGGACTAAATATGTTCAATGCAGTCTCACCTTTATTTCTTTCATTTTCAGAGCATGTAACAGAACAAAACATATTGTTCTTTTTATTGAATTTCAATGGAATTCTTGTTTTTTCGTCGAATTCAACAAATTTGTGTGAAAACATTACTTTTCCAGTTGCAATGGAAACTAAATGGATAACTCCAGAATTGTCGACAACAATAACCATTGAACCATCCGGACAAAAACATAACGAATCAACTCTACATCCTGCAAGAAAGACAACACTTTATACATGATTAACATGATGTTATATCATTATTATTATATAATCAAAACATTATTAAAATTCGAGGATAGAAGGACAAAACATGAAACCTGTAATTTTTTATTGAAATATTGTATTTTTGTATGCTAAAAAATGTCAAAAATTTCAGATCATTATTGGCAACATTTCTACTCAACTACTTTCATAATATATGTCACAGTTTTTGGGACAATCATATATAATCCCTCAAAAACATTTTAGCTAAAACAAACGAAAAAATATTAACTTCTGCAAATGTTAGTAACAGCTTTAAATAAACATAATATGAGTTTTTATTTAAAACTTGAGGAGTACTTGAATTACCTATATTTATTATAGCCTTGGGAGAATCATCTCCTTCCTCAACTATGTGTAGGAAGCCATCGACTGCTATTGCAGTATTTCCACTTTCTGATTGTACAACGTATATGGATGGATTGTGAAAAATCTGAAAAATTGAACAATAAACTTGAAGTTGAACAGGAATTTCATAGTTAACTAACAGCAGTTCTCTGCTGCTTTAAAATAAAAAACAACTTTTAAAATTATCATTTTGAGCAGCATGATGTTGATAATCTTTACTCTAATTAAGAGAAAATTATGTTTAGCCAAATATAATATGGTTAAGCATAAAACATACAAATTTGCATAATGATATTCAGTAAAGATATCAGACTTTTGTTTTTGAGATAACAAATTTTCCAAGTTTATCCATATATCATAAGTTTTATTTTAACCACAATAAAATTGTATCTATGATGATACAAATCTATACATCTTAACCAGTTTACTGAAATAGATATATTAATAAATATCGTTCTTTTGCTTACAGGTGTTTGTGGTAAAATGTTGCCAATATTTTTAACATTGTATGACATTTTTTTCCCAACATCACCAGACAATAGCTTAGTTTCATCGCTATCAAGACAGCTCTCAAAGATGTCCCACCTCCCAAGAATCTCGTTTGTCATTTCCATGTTTCCAATAGACTGATAGAACTTAAAGTAAACCTAATTACAAAACTGATTTTAAAAATAATAGATTGATGAGGAAAATACAGGCATCTCTAAATTTCTATAATTGTTTATGCTGATCACTTAATTATTTAATTTTTGCACCACCCCATATGAGTGGGATATAACCAGATAATTACAATATTAAATTAAAAAAAAAAGTATTGCAAAATAAAATAATGGTATAAATATTCAAACCAGTGCGTTTCATTCCATGGTTTTGTTCCAATGTTTCGGTTCATTTATTGTTAATCCTGATCACTTAATTAAGCCACGAGACCAAAGTTACTCCAGCCCACACTCGCTCAGCCTACACTCAACCTGCTATATGCCATTACAGCATTATATTATGCAGACCCTATCCTAATAAATTTAAATACATACCATATACCTGTAACTTATACAAGTTACAACACAACTTAGCCTATGACCTTTGATCATCCTGCGTGGGTTCGCAGGTTCGAATCCCGCGGGGGTAATTGTGGTACGGTACCGTATGTCTGTATGTGCGAGCAGATTGCTGGACTCCTCGTGGTCGTAGGACTGTAGGAAGATGGGGGTCTAGTATAGTCAGATAGTTCTGTAGTTTAGTACCACAAGTACTTCCAGTTCCAGTGGGCGTAGCATAACGATTTTTGCATATGTTATTACTAACCCTCACGTGACTATGCCATCCAAAAATTACGTCAATACAGCAATACGACGTCACCATCACGTCATAGGGATTGCCAAAGTATAATTACGATCGCCCGAAACGGCATCTGCGCCGCCGATAAGAGCTTGCTAAAGCCGGCAATCTCTCTCCTATCGTGATCGTTGCAACGAGAAAACGAGAGAAATAGCTTGCTCGATTTCGGGTTATCGTCTGCGCGTTTAGGACGACCATCCGCATACAGGCATACTTCGGTGGGCCTTATTACGCCACTGTGACGTCGGAATGACGTAATTTTTCGGTGACGTAGTTAGGTGGGGGTTAGGATTGACATATGCAAAAAGTTGAGCCAGGCCAACTAGAAGTGGATGTGGTACTAAACTAGGCTATACCAGACCCGAAGATGGTTCACGTATTCTGCCGTTGGTGGGTTTCTTGGTTCTTCGGTTACCGTACAGCTTCCTCCACCATCGAGTCCATGCATCTAGGTACGGTATCGGTACCGTAACTAATCCCATACCATACCCTGCATGGACTAGTAACCGGACAGAAGGCCGTGATTGGAAACATGATTAAACGGTCTTATCGGCTTCCCTCTGCGTGGGTTCGCAGGTTCGAATCCCATGCTGGGATGGTTATGTGCGAGAGGATTGCTGGACTCCTCGCCGTCGTTGCGTGGTTCACGTAACCGCTGGTCGGTTACGGCTTCCTCCACCACCAAGTCCATGCTTCCGAAAAACAATATAGTCTAACTAATCCCATACCCGACTTGGAATGGTACCGTAACCGGACGAGAGGCCGTGGTTCGCCATATGGATAAGCTGTCCTATCGGCTTTCCTCTCCCCCGGGATAAATATGTAAAATCCTATCCTAATCCTATCCCCCGATAAATACAGAAATGTGTAAATCGACCCAATCACACCTTTGAAAAAGCGCGCGACAAAGGAATGTCACCCTGACCCTAGCCGGGACTTCTTGGTTTATTTCCGCATCAATGTATAAAGGTCATACGGCAAAACCCATCCATCGCGAATTTGTATACAAATATTTTGGCTGTATTCTTGCGAATTGACCTGCGCAAACTGGGTAACACCTGCAAAATGACCATTTTAACGCAGTTTCTATAATTTCTTTTCAACGCAAATTCCCTCACTCAAACAGATTTTCAGGCGTGGTCTAAACATCACCTCGTTTTCGCGTTAGTTTTATTCGTTAGTTTAGGAAAATAATATTTTTTATTATCTTCAAGATCTAAATTATAGACATTAGATCAAAATTCAGTATAACACACTAATACTACAAGCACTAATATAATAATAAATATCTATTCATAGTCATTATGGAGATTTTTAATCGTTTACTGAATGTATCGAGTGAGTATTCTTCAATATTCGATGATTTTTTTTCCAAAATAGGGAGGCCTTCTATTTTGAACGATTTTTTTTTATCAACGATATGAACATCGAGGCATGAAATAAGTCTTTTTGGTAATATATACTCCTTGTGGCATAGCTATGGATGGTTGAAATTGCAGTAAATAAGTTGGGGGTAGCATATAATTTTCAAATGCGATACATAAATTTGGCAATTTTAGAGAGAATGATATCTTTCAGTTGTAATACTCCACACCACACTGTTTGTATAAAAGTAAGTTATGAACGTACTGCAATAAGCAGGCAGCGAATTATCTTGTTATGCACCACTAGTGGTTTTATTATCTGCTTCCCAACTAATAATGCGATATTTTAGATGAGAGTATATAAGACTGCAATATAAAATTTTGAATGCACTGATACCGAAAATTCGACGTAATTTGAACAATATTCCGAGAGATTGTGAAACTTTTTTACATAAGGGATCAATATGAGGCTTCCGTGGTTTGATTGAACATAGCTAGCGGGTTGGTTCATCGTGTAACGTTTGACTTGAAGAATTCGGGAAGGGTTAGCCAGTGGGAAAACGCATGGAAAGTTCAGGCAAAGAGATTCCAGAAAAGTATGGCGGGAGAGATAAGACGTGTGGATATCAGGTTCCTTGTTCCTGTCAAGCTTAATTTAATCGTCGATAATTTGAAAATGAGTTGAAATTTTATGAATATAATTTGGCGAGGTTAAGTGTAGGCTAGCTATTATAGAAAACGTTTTCTTTGGTACTCCATATCGGCATTTGGAAAATCTGGTGATTTAATGGGCATTGCAGTTCCGTGTTGTCTGATTGCCTTTTGCAAAACTTGCAGTTTAATAATTTCTGTTTGTCGTGATACATTGATCTGATGAGTTCAGAAGTTTGTCATCAAATTGTAACCGTCTATGAGCATATATTTTACATTTATTGGATTTATGTTTACGTGTTTTGTCGTTGTTTGAGATCGTAGTGATATTGCATATTTTATATTAATTTAATTCAGTGCTCGAGTTCATGACCTTTCATGCAGTTATCATCTTGCTCTGGCGTGTCCCTAGTGTATACAAGGTATCTTGTTTTTGGTTCATGAAGTAAACACAGTACTCTGAAATATTGAGTTTATTCTGGATAATATTCCACACTCCGGTATAGAAATCAAGGGTGGAGATATTATTACAAAGATCAGTCGTGATTTTGTAATATTGATTTATTTTATTGGTCCTAGATATTTTTGCTAAAATATTGCAACAAATGGAAAGTGAGGTGTCGAATTTGTGAACAGCATTTGGTTGATTAGTTTCATTTTGGAATCCAAGGAGTAAATTGCTTCCTGATGTCAAAATTGAGATGGTGTGTCAATTTTGTAAGATTGCAGATTGATGCGGTTATTCTTAGTTACTGTGCGATATCAAGTAAGAAACAAAAATACGAAGATGAGAACAGAGTTGTTAAGTCAGAATGGGAAGAAGAATACGCATTCATTAGTCAAAAAAATAAACCTTTGAGTCTCTCATAAGCTGCTCAGAGTCAGAATAAAGTCAGCAATGTTGAACGACACTATGAAACGAATCACAAAAACTTTGTACGAGACAATAGCCCAAACGCCGGTTTCGCGTCGCACTACACAAAGGCGTAGGCTATCTCCCAAGTTAGTATCAATGTAACAGTTACAATGCAAAATGATTTAATGAGCTCTAATATTAATGATTTCATTCAAATTTATGCGGCTCTCACATATTTCTGACTTGCTGCATGCTTTATACTAAACAAGAGAGCTACGCCCAAATATATGGACACGTCTGTTCGCAGTACAGTACGGTTTACCGTACCGTCAGATCACAGTCTACAAATATATTCACACCATGCGAAGCAGTACAGTTGGACACAAAATGGCGTCCGATGCCCGCAGAACGTTCAGTGACGTCATAGCAAACAAAAACTAATCTCACAGAGCTAACAGAAACATTTGAAACAAATAAAAGTAATAGCCTGATGGAGAAAAATTTCATCTTCAACCACTAAAAATTTCAAAGCAATTGGTCCAGTAATCAAAGAGGAAAGCGATTTTTTAGATTTTCCACTAGATGCCAAAAAGTGTCAAAGAACAACAAAACGATCGTTATGTCCACTAAACGTGTCCGAAAACTTTGCCCACCCCTGAACTATACATTTGCAAAAATTCCGAGAATACCGCTGTGTTTAACGTTGTATTCGATTTATAGTCATCATCTGATGAACCACATATCAACATACATAACATATTTTGAACCAATTCTGCCCGATATCTTTTCAATTTTAGGCATGTTCGTAGGTAGGTACATAAAAAGCTGTCATATATATTTAGTTTATTCTGTAGCATAATATTACAAGCAAAGAACATAAAGCACGTCATATAAACGTACTTTAAACCAACAGCAAATAAATAAATAATAATAACAAAAATAAAACAACTCGATATTACATACATTATATATATAAATGTTTTTTTAGGTTTCATGCCTGCGGATGAACAAAACAAGCATGTATACACAAGTTTTCAACACGTTTTAATTATAATATACTGACTTTAGTAATAGCTGGTTCTAATAACCATCTCTCTGGTAAATCTAAACCATTAGTAAGCATCATCGGTAAAAATTTGTACATATCGTAAAATTTATTACCGATGTAAATGATGAATTTTTCACACACGACGCCAAACGATAAAATTTCCATGGAAATTCTCTAATGTGATTGTTTCCCTCTCAATTTGATGCTAGCCCCTAATCATTCCTTGTACGCGCATTAGATGGACGGATGGGCCAAAGTAAAAGACATAATTTATCCGCAGGTAGAATTAAGTGATAGAATTTGAATCGACGTGAAATTAGGGATAAAAAAGACAGAGGGCTTCGGTCGTTACCAGAGTCCACGATAGAGATGAAGTATTTTCGAAAATATTCACTAATCAGTCATATTCGAATTTTTGAATGGAAGGCATCGGTTAAACGAGATATAAGAAGAGTAAATAGGTAAGAAATATCAAGCCTATTGGAAAAATAAAACAAGGCTCTGCGAATAAACATATCTAACGACGATGTATTTTTGCGATCAATACAGAAGCGTCTTAGTCTTTGAAAAGTTTTAATTATTATTATTATTATTAACGTCCTATTTTTTGTCATTTTTTCTTTATTTTCCTAGAATTGTTAGGCAATAATTAAGTTATTTGCGACGGCTGTCGTCACTTTGGACAACGAAAAATTATGGAAGAAAAAGATCTTCAAAATAATGTGAAAGTACAATGTATATACAATTTGTATAGTTCGATAAGGATAAAAGATATTTATACCCCAAGGGGAATTTTATTCAGAAACGTCATTTAAAGGTATTTTGGTGGTGATACTGCACACTTAGCCGAAAATAACGTTGCAAGGGATAAATCTATAGAACAAGTTCCCCAAACTAAAGACAATGATTGGGCGAATTACACCGAAAACATTATTCGAAACAAATTATAAGTTATAAAAGCTTCTCAAATAGCATGTAATGGAAGTTCCCGAACCTTGACTTTCTTGTTTATTCCCATAACAATTAGCATGAATTTAAACATGACACAACAATTGGACTTCACGAATGTTACCATATCTCTCATTTTATGTAATGTTTCTCCACATCTTACTGTAATTCGTCTTCAGAATGTCTTTTAATAAAGTCAATACCGGATATGGAAAGTTACTCGATAGTTCTTGATCGCTATGGAAATATTTCCGATTGATCGCGTTATCTATCAGCACCACCGATATTCGAACTCAAATGCGTAACTCATATTAGCAAAACATTTAGACCTCGCAGTGAGAGTAATACCATCTGAATTCCGTCTCTTTCTTTTGAATGTATACAATTTCACTTATTGTAGATAAAAAGGACATATATATTAGCTTTTTCTAAATGCATAATTGTTTTCTATGTTTAATATCACTCTCGTCCATGTACACAGTTTTCTTCCGGATGCCACATTTAAAGAATTCAAGACGGAACATGTGTTTCACAGATCAAGCCCCACCAGAAATTTGAACTTAGCGGCTCAAATAGCACCAGATATGCATCTTTCTACTAAATACCCAACCAAATTATAATCACACATATACATGTGTCTACTTCCACTAAAGTGGATATTCGTATAAGAAAATGAAAGAAAGGAAATTACTGAAATTGAAACTCGTATGTTTGTTTCATATTTATCTTAAGCGGTGGATGAGATTCGGGACTGGTACATTCCGCTGTCACTGGGGTTCTATATTGTTTTGCGTACTATAACGAATTCATTCTTTTTACGTAAATTGTTATTTAATATTCAACATTTTGCAAAAATGAGGGAGTTTCAATACGTTCGCTATTCTTCTAAAACTTTTTTCGTTGTACTTTGAAGCAAACCCACTTGAGTCCAAGGTGGGAACACCACTTACAGTTTTACCAGCAATTATTACTTCAACTTCGTTTGATCTCCCAAAAGCAGGAAGTCTTCGAGTGTTGACAGCTGAAAGATTTGCTTCGGTCGAGCTTACAAAGTCTCGTAAGTCTGGGCATGGGCAATCATCATCAAGTTCAAGACTGATTTCTAATCTTGCCGCGTCGTGATTTTCGAGGTTTAAATTTCCAAGATTAAGATTTGTACTTTTGTCTTGAATAACTTTCGTTAGCTGAATGTGCAAGGATTGATGTGTCTGACCCGCAGAACGCAATGTTGCAGGCCGCAGCCGAAAGTGTTTTAAAATTCCAATCACGACGAACTCCGATCGACATACGGATTGAGCTTCTTGCATGTAGCATGGGGGACACGACGGAGTTTGTGGAGTACTCGGAATCGCTACAGAACGGTTGTTCGGAGTTATCGAAGGACATCTGGCCCGACAGGCAAAGACATCTGGGAAGTTATTTTGATTTCCTTGACATCCGCTAAATGCGAATGGCTGTTGTAAAAATAAAGCGAAATAATATAAATGTCGGTAAAGTACCTACATAGAAGTAAAAATTCAAGATTTCATGAATGGATCTATCTTGTCAGTACAACGCGGCTTGGAATAATAGCAAACCGTAATGGCGGATTTGTATTTGTAAATTAGCTTTAGTTTCTGTATCTTCTTAGTTTTGAGTTTTATTGTCTACAAACAGAATAAACGAAAGACCCAAAATATGAATTTTATAAAAACAACTGATATAATTTTAATTAATATCACTCAATCTACTTACCAAGCAATTTCCAGTTCGATGATCGTAAAATATTCTCTGAGTGAATTGTCTACAATTCCCCTTTTTTGGTGGCAACTTACATATATCCATACAAGCGTTGGCGCATTCAGACCACGTTGGAAACTAAAAATCAAAAATTCTAAGACAACAAGGGACAATTATATCAATACGAAAGTACGGTAGCGAAACCCGGAGAGTCCATGATCTTTTGACAGACAATTTTATTCTTAACTATTTAAATTTGGTTGCGGTTGGAGCAGTTGGTGGAAAACACTATTTTCGTTGAAAATACAACAACAAACACAACTGTTTTGAAAAACGAACAGAAAAACTACATATATATTATTCATTTTGTTGGCAAATTATTATTCATAGTATAGCTTACATTCTCTGAAATATAGAAACTTATACAAATAATAATATAGTACAGTAGTATTATGGTAAAGACAACTTCAATAGCAGTGTCGAAAGTCCATACAAATTGTTCGTGAAATAAGTTGGGTGTAGGTCTATATTGATCCTATCAAGAAAATAAAAACCACCTTGTTTGTTATAGCTCTGCAGTCTCTGAAATACGATTTGACGCAATTTTTTTTATTTCTGTTATATATCCATAGCTTTTTTATTCTTCGCTGGGTCTCTTCTGGTCCACACCTTCTTGCTTGTTCGGTAGGAAACGTTCCACATTCCACCTTAGAAGATCGTCCTCCTCTTCTGATGCTTTCCTGGATAGCTAAAGTGTGTTTAAAATAACCAATTAAAACAACTTGAAATTCATGGAATGGATTGTAAAAACAGGTAAATCCAGAGCATAGGCATTCTGAATGAAAGTCAATCCGACAAAATAATTCGAAGATAGGCGCAGCCATGGTCTCTGTGTATGGCGTGGCATCGCAGGATACGGTAAACGATAGGGAAATCGTGAGCATGATTGCGAAAGAATCCAAAACCAGTTGTTATGCGAGCCTTTTTGCAAAAAGATAAGCTGAAGGTGAAATCAAATTTAGTTTATTACCTCACGTTTTGAGGTCAACAACGGGACGACGACAAAAGAAGGAACCTTTCGGAACCGAAAGGTTCTTTCTTTTAAAAATTAGTTCGGTGCCATTTGGTTTGGTGCTATTTGTCGGTCGTATTCCCGTATTTTCAATATTACATAAATACAGATTGTAGAAATACATGTTTCGAAATAAAAGACGTGCCGAATGTCGGAATTCATCTGGTATAATTAAAAAAATTATATTCTCGTGCGGCCACAAGCGAAATGCCGTATCACATAGCATAAGGACATAGGAGAAAATGAATATGAAAATAAACTCGGACTTTTCTTCAGCCATAAGTTTCTGATTAAGAAAACAACGTTTCAATGATCGGAATATTTGGAGTTACCACGTGATTGTTATCAATCATTAATGTGGGAGATCTATTTTGAACACGTAGTATGATGGCTGGGCTTTTAGAGCACTTTGAAAAAAAAAAGGCGGAATATGGTCTAACACTACGTTTGGTAGCAAAATAGATAATACAATTGTTTCAAATATGACAGAGATATAAAGATTAAAAAAAAAGCGTTGCATGTACATCACCTGTTACTTTAATTCTGAACTTTATTGAAGCCACTCCGCCTTTATTGGCAGCATAACAACTATATCTCCCGGTATCGCTTACATGGACGTTGTCAATTACGAGTTCTCTTGTTTGAGCCGACACTGAAATTCTCCCACTGACTGCGTTGGGTCCCAATAACTCGCCTTCTTCCATTGTCTGCCAAAATATTTTAGGTTTTGGATACCCAGTGACGTCACATCTCAAAGAAACGCTAGATCGCTCTTCTGCAACAACTATACCTTGCACAGAAATAACCGTGGGTGGTCGAAGTTCTGAGTCAGGTATATCTGACAACGAATCAGCATCGCCTGGCGTAAGTACGTTTGTATTGGGTGTAGGGAGTGAGTTGCAAATCGTCTGTGTAATAGTTTTTTGTGATTGGCAGGCCTCCATATCCATGAAACAAGAGGTGAAATACATCATTCCGTCGTCAGCACAAACAAAATCATTGTTGGAAACAGGAGGTCCACATGAGTCGACGCATAGACACTCTGGTTTCCCACCTACAACTTTGCACGTTGTACCTTGCCTAGTGCAGGACACATTAGAACATACACTATCGTCTTCGTCGTCATTCTGAAAGATTACATGAAAGGTTTTAATAAACTTTAAAAATTGGGACAGTGCTTGGTTTGAAAGTGAATGGTAATTTTGTGCTCTTATCAGTCGTGACATTCAAAAGCTTGCTGAATTTTTTTTTAGATCTTTTCTAGATGTTGACAGAACTTTTACTAGGTTAAATTATCTGAAATACTGTAATGAATTTATGTGTGCATTTTGATACCAAATCCTATCAGAAACATACAGATCTTGAATTGTAAGATTCGCCCAGTTGCGTTGGCTATAACTATTATGTTTCACAGTCTGGGCAATAATGGTTGTTTCCATGCTTTTTGCTGAAGTTTGAAAAATCCTATGCATCCGATGACATCACTCCTGGTTCGCAATTTTTCATAAAAATATTTTTGAATCGTAATCTATCTTCGACAATTTATCAACACATATATTGTGCGGTGTTATGTTACAGAACGATTACGAGATTTTGTCGTACGATAAGATTGTCGCCGTCAAATAAAATACAATCTACGCTTTCAACTTTGCCGACAGGCGTTTAGTTACCACCTCACACACGTCGCGTCTATTTTTGACTTCAAGATTTGAAAATCATTCTATAATCATACTGTTACTCCAGATATCACTAATTAAAATAAAAAGAACGAAAAAAATATATTTAAGTATATGAATGCACGTAAGGAATAATAAACGCCGATAATATTCAGTTGGATCTGAGTTCGAGGGCATTAACCCAAAATGGCGTATATTCTTGATTTTTAAATTCCTGTAACTATTTACTGAAATACTTCTGCAAATAATGATAAATACCTGCCCAAAAACATTTATTTGTAATAGTTTCAAATTACAGTCACGAAATTTCTACATTGCCCCTTTGTTTTTAAATCACCCATTACAATATTTCTATATTTTCTCAAATTAAAAAAAAAAATAAGCAAAATTAATTTGGCATCTATTCAGATACTCGTTAATAATTTTAGTAACAAGTCAATAAAAAAACAAAGTTTTACCACGTTATCAAAAGTTTGTCGCATTTCATCGTTCCCAGAAATTTCGACATCGTTTAGGCTATATATTTAGGCTATATATATATATATATACTAAAAAATCAAGTGTGGGTCTTCTATTTAATATAATACCAGTTACACCACAAAAGCTAAGCTAGCCATATTGGGATGAGTAAACGAATGAAATACATCTGAACCAAAGGTTTGTTCATATAAGTAAATTATTCGTACCGAATCCGTTAATTGGAAATAATTTTTACGATGAATAAAGAAATTAGTAGCGTCGCCAAAACCACGCCCTCCAGCTTACCTTCGGATACCAAGGATCTACGCAAGTTTTTGATCCACATGCGTTTGAACAGCATACTCTTTGTGAAGAGCAGTCATTATCATCCGCACATGAGAGTCTTTGTAGACATCGAGCTAGAGCGTCTATATACTGCCTTGGACAGGCAAAGAGTGAGTTTCTTTGTATTTGGATATTATCATTGCCAGCGTTTGATCCTCGAGTATCTCTTTGTGTCCAAGCTCCACCAGTTAAAAATACCAACACAAATAATAACAATTTTCCATCCATATTTTATTCCTTGTCTTCTTAAACTTTCAACCAGTCGGAAGTGGCGATAAAATATTCCAATAAGTATATATATCACAGATTACAGTTTATTAGATGTTCTTGGAAGACAACTTTACCAATTGAATCTTCTTTCACAAAATTCAAATAGCATTTACGAATAAAAAAATATTGCGTGAATTAATATGCATGCCTATGACATAGGATATAGTTTCGAAACTACAAACACACTAGGACACCTTTAATTAATGAGATTTGCCCGAAAACGATGTACTGGCGTTCTGATGAGACATAAGCGTATTATGTCTGAGACTAGAAACATATTTACCTCATTAGGCCTTAGCATCGGCACGAAAAGGGCAGACGTCTAGCCGTTGTCATAAATTGATACCGAAATAGTTTATTGTAGGGCTATTTACTGATCGATCAAAAATGAAACATAAATTTGCATACTGACGTATAATAAAACTAGAGATATTTTTAGGCCAGGAGATAAGTCGCAGTCAGGTTCTGATTTAATCCCAGACTTTCAAATATACCGTACGAGGCTAATTAATCGCAGTGTGTAATGACTCTGGCGTCCTGGCACAGAAAGTGCACTTGCACATTTGTTTTCCAGCTAATTAGCAAATATTTAATTGTGAAACCAAATCTATATTTGCTTCTGTCTAGAACTAGATTTCTCGTACACTGTCTCTGTTCTAAAAATAGTCACTTTAAAAACGTAAATAGTTTATTACAATCTACTATGATGCGGCATATTTATTCCTATGAGCCTATAATGTTACGGTTAAAAAAAAATTATGTCTAAAAAATTTTCGCTTTACCAAACTCAACTAAAACGGGGTTTTACTGTTGCATAGAACTCAAGGTGTGATTAGTTTTTTTTAAAATGATTTGTCCAGCCTTGTTCGGCTTCTTAGAAAGCTTAAAAAAAAAATTACTCATACATACAGTTAAAATGTTACACCATAATTGTGATTCACCGGATGTGTTCCAGTCGTAACTTTCATTCCAAACACTATACTTCTAATTTTGTAGACCCCGTGAACGCACGACAAGTCGAGACAAGTGTTAAATGACGTATGTGACACTTCTCGGAAAGTTGTCTGCTGTACTCAGTCATTTACTTACTAAAGTTTTATGGTTTTCGTTATTTAATCTCAATACCATATCGCACGACAAGTAGTACATACTATTCACTTCAATATTTTAAAAAATCTTATATTTTGCATTCATCTTGTTTTTGTTCTACTATTTGTATTTGATATGTATCTTAACAAACTTGCAGTAAGATGAAAAGGTTTCACGTAAAAGCTCTTTTTAAATGTCTTCCATAGCTACGTTGCAGTCTAAATGTCTGATCGAAACGTTATTGACAAATATAAGTGATTTCTTTATCAGATAATTCAAAAATAATAAGCAGTTTGATGTCTGGAGCTTTTGTGTCACATAAACGTCCCATCGTTTAAATAAATTTTCGGCACTTTTGACAAACATCTAACCATTACTGCCCTTTTATGTGGTAACATTCTCCAAGAACTGCGTGGAAATCAAGTCTTTTTTGTTCATTTCGTGTCAATGGGGAAAATGCATACTTATTCGTTTGAGTATGTGGCAGAATTGTGACACCTATCGTCAGATCTAAATCTTCGATATAGTCCAATACAAGCTATTGGACATTTTAGTCGTCTGTTGTGTTTTTGCGGATAGGAAAATTGTCGTAAGCGACAGTAATTTATCAGCGACAAAATTATGATACATTCTTTCATCATCGCACTTCGAACAAGAGCAAAGAACAAATATAGTAGTCCAGAATTTTTATAGTTATTCGAGCTATAAGCTTTTTACATGCTTTCGGTGGGTATCATTCCGAAATAAAAGATAATTTATATTTCCGTATTACAGAATCCAATGAAAATTTTTGTTTAATCTTCAAATCTATCTTCATGTGATACGTCGATCTGTGTAATATCGTGTGAAATAATGATAAATAGCAACTGAAAGTGAGTGAAATTCATTTTACCGGCATATTATATTGCGTTGTAGAAGACCAATAAGGGGAGTCCATTTGAAACCAAGGCAATAAGCATATCTGAAATGATATATTAACGGCGGGAAACAAAACCCACTCTAAGCATTCGATGTAAGTGTCAAATTTTTAAATATTCATTTTCTGAATCCACTTTAGTAAGTTATCTATACTCCTAGCGAACGGAGTGGATTCAATATAGACTAATTTTACCTTTCTATTTTTATGACGACTCTTTGAAATTTCGGTTTGTGGTATTATATACCTTTTCCGAATTGGCTAATTTTCACAGAAAATCCAGTGCGACACATCACAATTCAATTGTGCCAAAAATGTTTTATATAATCGAATTATTTTCAAAATATTATTATAAATGATATATTTGAATTTGGAATATCAAAATATTATTTAAATTCAAATTGAGAATATATAATGAAATTTCAGCGGGGTTGTCAGATTAAAAACAGATGTGACATTATTATCAAAACATTTGATATATAAGTAAATATATTTGATATAAAATGCAAAATATGTTGCTTTAATCAAAAAGAGGGGTGTACTGTGTTTTCCCTGAAAATAAGACATTTCAATTTTCTTCCGAAAAATAACACTAAGGCTTATTTTTGGGGGATGTCTTATATTTTTACTTATCAAAAACAAAATTAAAAAGTAGAGAATTACGAGATTTTCAAATACACAAAATATGAAAACCGATATCCATTTGTATAACACGTTTTTATTCAAAACAACTGCAAACCATCGATTATCAATCATTTAAAACGCGTAGGAGAGATTTCTTGCTATCGACTGGGTCAAAAAAATAAACTGGCGTTATTGGCTTATATTAAAATCATTCATAAAATTCAGGCTAGGTCTTATTTTCAGGGTATAGGTGTTATTTTCGGGGAAACACGGTACAACCTGCCGTCGTTGAAGATGAAATATGTCGCCGCGATGGTACGTGTTTCAGCTGCAAATTAAGCACAAGGCAAAAATATTTACAGCGCGATTAGTATTTACATAGAAATTAGTGAATTATATTAGTCGTGGTGTCGTTGACGTACCTGTCTATGTTCAAAACTCTTTGTGACGTCACGATCATGTGGTATGTCACAATGAGATATTGAATTAAGTAGGGAATTTACTTTCGAAAGTTGGTGTTAGAGCTTGGAATGGATCACAATAAATCACCCGAGATGAGGGGAGGGGGTGTTTAAAATAAAAATCGGACATATAAGCCGCAAGACGCGGGCGTTTATCTTTCAGTTTCGTAGCGCACATAAGAGGACTACTTGGAAATAATTTTAAAACGTTCCTTAGTAATTTAGTAACAAATAATGCCTTGTTCACATTTACAAGAGTTGCATGTTTTACAAAAAAGACACTTTTACTACAAGAAATATGTGCTACCATCTGTCCTATATTCTCCGCGTTTCCGGCAACATTGGCCAATGATCGCAGACTTCTTCATGACGTAACAATTGAATTTGATCAGCTGTTGGCAGTCGGATGCAGTTTATACTGCCCGCTCTTGCGTTGAGTTGGATAGCCTTTCCATCGTCTTTTTTAGTTATTATTAGTTAAGTTATGCTAAGACGATGTTAAAAAGTATGAGTAAGTTATTAAACACCTGTAGATCCCTACCATAGATAACAATTTTAGTTGAGCACAAGCTCATATAACGTTGTTAAATAGGTACGGTAACTTCAAGAAAGGCTAGATCTAAAAAGATATGCCACAAACAACGATACGGTATTTTCATGCTCGTATGGAAGGTTTATGATTAATTTAATGACGATTCTTGAATATTCAGCAGACTTATACTACTATATAGGCTGTGATTTAGAAAATAATGACCGTTTTTTTAATGCACGTTTGTGAGGAAGAGGGGAAAATAACCAATTTTATTCAACCAATCAATCATTTATTTCGGTACTCTGACATGAAAACAAAACAGCACAAAAAGAAGACAAACAAACAAAATGCAGAGATACCTAGAAGGCGAGCATAACTTAAAATAAAGTTAAAAAACGTAAAAGTACGCGCTCGCCTACCAAAAAATAATAATACAAGCATACAAAAAACACGATTCAGAATCGGACAATGCTTTAAGTAACACACATTATAGACTTTTCCCCCGAGCATCGACTTCCTTGTTTACTTCGTGACATTGGCCAATCAGCAAGAGACACTTTTCTCACACAGACAGATTGTAGAAATAGCTGTGATAGACTATACTAGGCTAAAATTCTTTACCGGTACTTTTAAAAAACAGCTTGTTGTATGCGATCAATCATAATGATGGTTTGAAACAAATACCCCATTTTACAAGCGCCAACTCGCAAAAGCACTCTTAAAATAGCCCCGAAAATTTTGCAATGGTAAAGTATAGAAAGAATTGTTCGGGGGTTAAAGGTCCATTGCTGAAGGGATCTGTGGTCAACTTACACAAAATAATAACAAAATTTAGGTAGATAAATGAAATGTAATAGACTTCTAACGACTTTTTCCGTCCAATTATGGTAATTGTAAGATCACCAGAATTTACCCCACATATCGTATGAATGAAGTCGATTTTAAATATTTGAATGCAGCAAACTCTGGGTCTGGGATTCTAGATTGTGTATATCTAAATAAGTAAATAACTGTAGGAAACATCTTGCTTTCAAAGACACAAAAAAAAATCACCAACAATTTATTAAATGTACAAAACAGATAAAAAAAATGCATGCATGAAAGGCAGCATAAAGTTTTGAACATTTGGAATAAAGTGTAACTTTGCAATGTTAAAAGCGAATAGTGACTAGTAGTGAACACAGCAAAAAAGATAAGGACAGTGCATCTGGAAAAAATACAAAATAGGTATGTACATCGGAACCATTTGCCAAAACAATATTCAAATAACTACCAACACCGGTAAGCAACATGAAGATGTATAAGAATTTAATAAAACAGTAAAAGCAAGCTCACTTACACACTCACACAATAGAATACCTTTGTGCAAAAATGAAATAAGTGGCAGAAGAAAAGTAAAATTATGCTTGTGTCCTATGTGCCACATAAGCACAGTAAAGTGGCTGC